CCAGATATACAAAACATTTCGTTTCATTTTAATACAAGTATTTTTGAAATATTATCTTCCGAATACATTATAAACGTTTTAAAAATATTTAACATCAAAATCACACATTTTGCTCCCATAATGAAATAGCGTAACGAAAATATTAGAAAAATTTCTCGTGTTTCTTGATACCAAATGAAGTGTCCGATAATAGTCGTGAAGTAAAAAATGTATTTGTCTTATGTTAATAAGTTAAGATATAATTTCTATATATGTTTATAAATTATTGAAACTAAATATGCCATTGAGATTTTCAAGAAATATTTCAAATATCTTCGAATGAAATCTACAAGAAATATTTAGAAATTATTCTATGCTACTAGGGTACCGACGATTTATACCCCTATTACAAATATCATAACCGCATAATAATTTGATCCGCCGGTGGTAGGTTTAGTGTTAAACATTTCCCTTCGATAAACGATTCGTTCGGTCCAAACGTGACACTTGGGAACTATGGGCGGCTCTTCGCGTCAACTTTCGCAAACAGTAGGAAATTAAGATGTCGGTAAACTTGAGAAGTAAAAAAGGCACCTTTGAACCTTGCCAAAGAGGAGGCTTCTAGCGTCACCAAAGACGAAACTTACCAGTCTCCTCTGAGTCAGAGATCCCAGAGATAGCTCGTCGAAGTTTTGCCGTGACGTGGTGTCTTGCGTGCGTGACGCATACCCGTAAAGTGCGGCCAACGCGAGAGACGTAATTGTCTCGGTTTAATTATTTATTTATCTTCCCTTTGAGCGCTCGGCGTTTAACGCTCCCCTTTTTAAAGAGCGCGAAACCGTCGAGCTCGCTTTAAACTTTAAATTACTCTAATCGATTGGCTTCAATTCGCGCGAAGGAAAATAAAAAAAAACATTCGCTTAATTTGGGCTCGAATACCTCGAGCTAGTTTACGTGAAAAAAAGTTAAATCGATCGTATCAGACTAAGCGGAGTACGAATCAGGAAGTATAGATTAAGACCTAGAAATGGATATCACGCAGAAAAATAATTTGGTTCAATGCATAAAATCATTTGATCGCATTTGGTTCATTTTTGAATACTTTTTAGTTGACTGAGCCGAATTTTAGCTCGGTTAACCAAACTCGTTTGCTTCAATCGGCCAAACTGTTTTGGTTGATGCATTTTATTAACTTTATCAAGTATCTCAGTTAATATACCAAATATTTTAATTAAATGTATGTACCAAATTACTTTAATATTTGACGTGATCTGCTATATTTGATGTACCAACAAAAAGTTATTAACGAATGAACTTTTTCATATCATGCTTGGTTTGCCATACAATAACCATATTCTTTTTTTTTTTTTTATTTAAATGCATCGTTCATGCATATATTTTAAGTTTGGAGATTATTGCTGCGGTGTTAAGAGCCAGGCTTGGATAAATTCTACCGTGGTTAGTTAATTATGAAAGAAATTAAAAATATACGAGAATTTGAATTTTCTACGGCTTGATGGATATTGTAAACTAATTCGGAACATGAATTAAGATCTCCACGTGGTTTTGTGAGGAAGCTTTTTTGGAACAATTTTGAGTTTCCTTAAATTGTAAACTGTAGAAAACCCAAAAATCCTTCTTTAAAGAGTATTATCCGAAACAGACCTCCCTTAGTGTATACTTTAAAATATTTGTATAGTTTAAAATATTTATTTAAAATATTCCGACTTGGAGTATGGGGCAGTTTGTTTGTTCGATTACTAATAAAATGGGTGGAATGGACCATATGCGAAGTACAGAGAGGCATGACCATAAAGAGAAAGGCTGTTATAGTTTACACGGCGTTGGGAGGTCATAAAACAATTAAATGGACTCGAAGTACCGAGATCCATCGCAGTCCTACCTCGGCCGTGTAAAATTGCGATAATATTTCAAATAACAAACATCTCGAAGTGAAGTCAACGCCTAAGAACAATTGTATGTAGGACAGCTCCCAAAGGAACGTAAACAAATATCAGAGACAATGTCCGCATTAAAATAAATATTTACACGCAAATAATTCGATTTAAAGAGATTTTTTTGCAGCAGAATCGTGGGCAGTTGTTTAAAAATGCCTTTGCGCGGGACAGCTGTCCAAAAAGAAAATTAATAAATATCAATAATACTGCCCGATGTTCCCGAGCAAGCGATGGCTCTCTTAATAATTTTCCTTCCTTCTGGTTTTAAGAAAATTTCCAATATCGAGGCATTTTCCAAGCTTTGCTTGGTTGTGGAAAAATATAATACAGTCGACAGTGGAATGGTCCCAACGTGATTACTGTTGAGAAAACAAATTGTAGGCAGTCGCTGTATCGCTCTTCCCAATCGAATTCGAAATTCTGTTATCACTACGTCGCTCCGACTAAACTATTAGATATACCGAATTTCGCTCGCACATTCCGCTCACCTCAAACTGTGCTACGTTAAAAGAGATTGGTATATTTCAAATGTAGATGTGTTCTAAATTAAAAACTAATAATACCGTACTCGCGAAAAGAAATATGGCATCGCCTAAAAATTAAAATCGTATAAATCAGGTACTAACAAGTATTCTTTAGGACAATGCGAACTGACAGTGATTCAATTTTGGGTTAAAAGGTACCCATCATTACCGAGACAAGCCACAGCATCCTTTCCTTATGCTAAACGACATCTTTGATTATCAAATGTGTACAACTTTGATTTTTTATAGGTGTCGCAGTTCTTTTCTTTTTACAAGCAGGGCACTATTTGAATTGTAGTCAATCAATTGTGCATAACGCATGAAATATGTCTTGAAAATATTTCTTGTGTTTATGTATGAGTACCGGCTTCTGATTCATAAAATTGAAGGGAAATTCAAGGGCATGCTGTGGTAAATGCATCATGAATGTATTGGACGTATACGAAGAGCGGTTCAAGCCGAGACATAATTATCTTTCGGCTGGTACTATTTAGCCTTACGGTGCTCGTACTTTGTTGCGCCCTCCCTGATACGCGTATAAACGTGTATTACGTGCCCACGCAATATATAATTACGCCCCGGCTATGTAATCGAGCGAGAGGGTATGCCCCGGACACTCGCGTGCACATACTCGCGGGGTTATTTGCGTTTCATTGTAATCGGAATTCATTCTCCTCGGTTCGCTCGCGTGCATTGTCGGGTGTCAATGAATGACGCCCTGATCTCGTTCTGAATTTCTAATGTCTAAGAATAGTTTCGAGGCTTTGGCGTTTTTGTTAGATGCTATATGCAGATGACGTGCATTGTATCGCATTTTGTTAGATGCAATATAATGTGCATTGTCAAATGAAGCTGAAAATACTTTGAGAAGTCTCAGACTGTTGATCGAAGAACAAAGAATAAATCGCATGCAGCAATAATTATGAAATAATAAAAATGTTAGAAAGTACTGATATTCGACGGTTTTGTTAGATGCAATATTTAGATGATGTGCATTGTCAGATGAAGCTGAAAATAGTTTGAGAAGTTTCAGACTGTTGATCAATGAACAAGGAATAAAGCGCATGCGGCGATAATTATGAGATAATAAAAATTCTAGAAATTAATGATATTTCAGTTTTCACTTTCTTCTTAATTCATGATTTTTAAATAATTGTAGAACGTGTATAACAGTCGAGGCCCGTGAACTTTTGATAAGATGATGTGATGAAATCTTGATAAAATTGCAAGTCGAATATTTTCGAAAATGAAGTTTGAATTTTTTTATTAACCCTTTGCACTCCTAAGGCCAGGTTTTCGAGTTGACTACTAATTGCTTGGAGTGCAAAAGGTTAATTGCGAGGCTGCAATGTAAATCATGGCTAATTATTCAATGTTCATGGATCGAAGAGGAATTATACTTTAAAGCAGATTTTTTATTAAAGTAGGTTAACTTCGACTGACCTAGGTATCTTCAATCCCTGATATCGACCGTCTCGACTGTAATACGCCATTTTAATGTCCTTCCTCTCTCTGATTTCATTTTCTCTCGGATCTTTTCTTTACGACGAGGAGCCCGCCTGCTAGGTCGTTATCACAGGTTTTTCACGATAAATGCGTGTCTTCGACGGCGAGTCATTTCTCAGGAATCTGGGAGAACGCATGTCGATCGTCTTTCTCTTCCTTTTAGAGAGGCACTTTATAGATTGGTAGCTTTTTTATCAAGGAGAAGAATTAAATGTTATTAGTACCCTGATTGCGGTAATTGTAACAACGATCGAGTTCAAGTGAGTCATCAATAGTTTCGCAAAGTCCTGATTATTTCACTAAGAAAATCGCGCGGAGTTAAATAATAGTTGTCACTATTTTGTGACAAGTATGCAGTAATTTTGATCGTAACTCTCATTGTCTTTTTATGTAAATATTCATGTTACGTTAACTGCTAATGTGATCGTTTCTCTCGCTTTCAACATTGTATAATTATAGAGGAAAAGTTGATACAGAGGTAGATCGCAAGCGTTTAGCGAACGTTGGAAATATATTTTAAGACTTGGAACAGAATTGCTGGCAAGATTTAAGATGTGGGTAGAAATATTACAAGACCGTACAGTGATCCAATGAAGATCGTAAATGCGTTTAAAACGGTCGTTGATGCGTTCTTCGTTATCAATGGCAACGATTTATATGCCTACTTACTCTTCATTAAATCGAAAATCCAGGTATATCTCTTAACATATTCATCTCTAGTTCCTCACCACCCGAAGGTTTTTTCCCTTCGGTGCTAGAAACTAATCGAATTGTTTGTCGAATTAAATTTTCGCGTCATAAACCATCAAGCATCTTCTTTAGTGCGGATTAGTTTTCTCGGTGAACATGCCCTTATATTTTCCTTGTGTTTGGTACTCGGCATTTGTCTAGTAATACTCTTATCTGGTCAGGTATTCGTTATCACGAGAAGTCCGCAGGTCTTCTATTCTTGAAGGGTGTATTGAAATATCGCGGATGGAAAGAAGTCGCGATCCACGAGCTGGGAAATCATTCTCTCCTGTTTCCGTTCCAGGCTCTGCGTCCATTGAGCAGAAAAATGGAAACGGCAACTCGAAAGGCAACAAGACCAACAACAATGGCCCCGACGTCAACAGGAACGAGGAACAAAACGGCCCGGTCGATGTCAAAGCTCAGTCCAAGAAGAAACCCGCTGCTCCTGGAAGCGGACCTCTGCTTCAACAGGCGTAAGTTGAGCTCGTTGAAACGAGCTCCTGTAGATGATGAATGTCGCAGAATGTAGTCCTTAGAATTGTAATTGCGACAACGAAGGGCGAAACTTTCGCGGGGGATATATGACGTGTTTTTCTTAAAAATACAATTGGGGTTATTGTAATGCTAACTCCGTGCGCCTAAACGCGCGATCAGCTGTTTCCCTTACTCTTCGGAAAGAATCAAATTTGCCGCTGAATCGGGAAGTCGAGAGTCCTTCGTTATCTACTTTTTCATGGAAGAATTACTTTAACCGTCTGTAACCCAATTTCATTTTTTCAAGCCAAGAGAAAACTGATAACACGAAATTGGCAAATGTTAAGATGAAGTAAAACCCCCTTCAAAACAGTTGATTCGAATAACACACTTTTTTTTAAGGGTATTGGATTGAATCCAAAGGATTTCTAGCGTTTTACTTCGATTTTCTTATTATTATTGTACGAAAACGACAGATGGGGTATGTCATTTAGTACGATATTTAATATAATTCGACACAGCTGTTAATATAAAAATGAACGTCGGCAACGTCGGTATATATGTAGGAAAACCTTTTTCATCGACGTCGATCAAGTCCCTCAACGTGTTTCACTTCACCTTAACCCTTTGATATTAACTATTTGTTTATTAATTTCTTAATTTACATTCATTTTTATAAATGAAAATGTTTGTACATGCACAATTTATAAACGAATTCCTTGGGTTCGAAGGTGTGGTACAATAATGTGCTACATTTAGCTCTGCGGGAGAAATCAAATAAGACTTAAAAACGATGGATGTACAGGTATATGATTTCAAAGACCCACGACGTTACAAAGAATTAAATTGGATTCCTTTAATTTAAATATCGATTTTTTTTTTCTTTCTTCACGCTGAAAGTCCATCAAATATCGAAGTCGTGAACAGTATTGCTAGTCGCTTTTTATTCGAAAGGCAGACGTATTAAACTTGCAAAACAGTTTTTTTTTTTGTTGGTTTATGAAATAGTCTGTCTTAAACAGAGAATCCAATTACAATTTTTTACCGGCACGGTCGTTTGCACGCTATTTCAGTTAACTCGGAAGTAAAAGCTTAAACGGACTTGATTTAACGAAGGCGAAATAAGTGAGTGTTGCATTCGAAATTGAAAATATCGGGACCTTTGGGCCCGTCCAGTTTTTATCTCTGAATCCCTTTGAAAGAATCCGTTTTCAAAGAGATCTTCTTAAACAAAATTTGAACTCAAACCCTTTGAGCGCTAAGCACTTCTGACTTATGGGCGAATTTCATCAGGGCGTGCAAGCAATATTGGACCGAACGTCGGACGAACTTATGCGCCCACAGTGCTCAAAAATATATATAAAGCTGGAATTGCCACTTTAGCACAATTGAATAAAATTTGTTGCAAGATTTATTGTTAATTTATTGCTATTTTATTGCACAAGAAAAACATTTTTTTTTACTTTTATACTTTTCCGAAAAATGTTGGCGATGTCAGCTTTATATAAAGCTAGCACTGCCACAGTTAAAGAAAATTATTAAGTAAACGTTCATCAATGAATTATATACCAGAATTTATTGTTAATTGCTCGCAGAAAACGCAATTTCAATTTTTTTTGCTCACCCCTAAAGGGGTGAACGCCACCCCTAGTCCTGATTGCAGGACAGAAACATGAAAAACATGGGAAAATCGAACTATTTCTTCCCGTGGGAATTAATAGCTAATTAATTGCTCCGAGAAGAACCTAATTTCCAATTTTTTGCATGTTGGGGCGACATAAGAGGGGTTAGCTTACCACCTTAGGGGTTGTGCCAAAAACTCGAAATTAGGTTCTTCTCGGAGCAATTAATTAGCAATTCATTCCCACGCGAAGAAATAGTTCGATTTTCCCATGTTTTTCATGTTTCTGTCCTGCAATCAGCACTGGGGGTGGCGTTCACCCCTTTAGGCGCGAGAAAAAAAATTGAAATTTGGTTTCTCTGCAGGCAATTAATTAGCAATAAATTCTGGTATATAATTTATCGATGAACGTTTACTTAATAATTATTTTTTATCGCGACAGTGGTTTATATAAAGCTGACATCGTCACCATTTTTCGGAAAAGTATATGAGCAAAAAATGTTTTTCTTGTGCAATAAAATAGCAATAATATAGCAATAAATTTGATTGAATTGTGGTAAAGTGGCAATTCCAGCTTTATATACATCGCTCAAAGGGTTAAACCGACCCTTTTCCTTGGCAACAAAATCGACTTGTCTATATGTGTCTTCCTCTTGTTGCAGAGAGATATCGTCCAGCCAGTTGGACTTCTTCAGGATGCTCGACGAGAAGATCGAAAACGTGAGTTGGCCAGCTCGTACGATTAGCGGGGCGATTTAGTCACTGCAACCTGAATACACGCGGGGTCATTATCTCTAAGGAGTCATCGACAGAGGAACCTAAAACAGTCTCTCGGCAACAATGGGTCGGAGTGCGAGTTGCTCAACCTGCCGTGAAGTATCGCACGGCCTGGTGCAGCCTTGTCGCAAGAATATCTATGCCTCGTCAGCCGTAATCGGATCTGCAGTCTGGATATAACTGTTATTAGCATACTGTCACGATAGTTCCTTACGACAGGGGGACACGATTCGTGTCGCCGGGATTTATTTCCCTCTGTTTACAATTACTGAAACAACAGGTCGTACTTGACCGCAGTTGCGACGTTTCGGTCGCACATGGTGCATATCGCGTTATTAATATCGCCCGACAAGGGTGCAATTCATAAATAGGTCCGATCTACGCCGATCGAGAGGATTGCAATGCGCTGAATAACAGATTTCTTAGGTCGTTTGCAATTGCGTTACGTGAGTGCGTTATAAAAAGACCTGCGATACTTTCTGGCCGATAGGGACTCGCACTCTGATCGCTTAGAGCGTTTCTGCTTCATTTCTTTTGAGGATTTTCGTTGTTTCATCGAAGAGATAATGACCTCGCGGAGAGGATACCGCTCCCTTAAAATTGTATCTCGGGATTGCATGTTAATGAAACGGAATTAAGGCGCACTGTTTAACGAAAGGTTCACCTGATTGTTATTTATTTATTTTTTTTCTTTGCTTAACACTAGGTTTACGGGACCCGTCAATTTGACGGAATTCAAACTTCAAAAAGAAATATCGAAAAAACCATAGCATTAATTTTAACCATTTTCGTATCGTAAATTAATTATTTCATCCAAAGAATTTGTACACACAATTATTTTTTCCTAAGCCTTCTAATTATTAAAATCTGTATGTAGTATACCTATCTCTACGAAACCCGTCAAATTGATGGATTAGCTAATTTCATAAACAATCCATATATATTTGCTTCGTTGCAGTGAGTGTAAGGCGAAGATGAGAGTGAAAGTTTGCATTGAAAGTGGAGAAATAGAAGGATCTTCGGATAGTGAAGAGGAAAATTTCTTGAAAGGGTGTCGTAGTAAGAATAGGATGCGCATTCTTTCTAGTTCCGACTCCGAGGATGAGAGGACGAGCATTCCAATCATTTCCGTGATAATTTTTAAAAAAGGACTTTTTACTTATTAATCATTTATTTAAACGTAAAGCCTAGTGTTGTTTAATGCAGACTTAATTTGAATAAATCGATTTTTTAAAGAAAACGCGTGTTTTTGTTTACCCGTCAATTTGACGGGTGCTCGTAGTAACAGGTATATAAAAAACGCCCGTAAACCTACCATACAGATTTTAATAATTAGAAGGCTTAGGAAAAAATAATTGTGTGTACAAATTCTTTCGATGAAATGATTAATTTACGATACAAAAATGGTTAAAATTAATGCTACGGTTTTTTCAGTATTTCTTTTCAAAGTTTGAATTCCGTCAAATTGACGGGTCCCATAAACCTAGTGTTAATAAGAGCCAGTAAAGATCTATTCTACCCCAGAATTTCATTCTTTCTAGAAAATGACGATTTCGTTCTGGATAATAGGCCTTCAGGAGGTAATACGTTAATCGCGGGCGCAACTTTCGCACGGCTTGTTATTTTCTTCTACAAAGTCCAGAATCTTAAATGCCGTACCTGGAGTTCCTCTAATTTCGCTTCTTCATCTTCATCTTCATGTTCCAGGGACCCGACTACGATGAGAGCCTGGACGCGGCAGCAACGGCAGAGCGAGTATCGAGCCTGCTTCGTCGTTGGGAACTCGCCAGCGTGACCTGGTCCAGCGTGTCCGACCTGAACAACTCTTCCTCGGACCTGAAGACTCGTACATTCGGTCTGAGCACGTCCCGACAGAGCCTGAGCGCGAAGGACCGCGAAGGGATGCGCAACATCATCGGGGGCCGTCCAGAGAGCGCCCCGGTGTTCGTGCGAAACGCAAACCGCATGGACGGCCTCCAGGAGACGCACTGTCCGTCCCCGAACATGCCTCGCCACGTTCTGGAGTCCATCACCCAAAGTCCGACCCAGAGCCTGAAGAACACTCCGCCGTCGGCGTCACCGACGAGCCTGCGCTACCAAGACTACAACAAGGAGTACAACGCGAACCAGATGCCGATAAAGATCACGAAGGCTGGCTACCAGGGCCAGAACCAGGTCAATGGAGAGTACGTGACCCAGCAGGCCCTGTATCGGGAGCAGTACCTCCAGCAGACCGGCATCATCACGGTCCCCTCGCAATACTCCGCCGGCTCTCCCGGCGGGAACGTCCTCAAAAACAGCCCCTACGTTCAGCAGTTTCAGATTGCCAGTCCTCAGCACTTCCCGACCCCCAGGAAGCGAGGATTCAACGCCCAGATGACGTGACCGGGACCGCCGCGGACGACGAGATAAGACTGAAATCGATGAAGAGCGTCGCCGAGGATCGCCGAGGCCGGTGGAGGGCTCGTCCCCGACGAGCCTGGGGATGATCGCGAGAGACGCTCTCGGCGGGATCCACCGACTCGTCCTGGTGCCGGGACGAGGCTCGGGATGGATCGACGGGGATTCGTAGGACCCAACCAGGAGAGGGACGTCGTGTACCTGATCGAACGCGCTCTCGTTGTCCCGGAGAGTCGGCGACGAGGAGGAGGTTCTCTCGCGAGAGGAGATGACGAGGCACGAGGGCGTAGGCCTAACTCGCGAAGGCTGGTACCTAATTTAGACTGCACCCCGAAGCATCGGCTGCGTTTATATGTTGTCTAGGATAAGAATTCTATTCGCTAATAAGTGCCAAAGTGCTCGGCGATCGTAGTCGTCGTGTTCGGAGTCCGTTCCGGAATGAGCGGAACGGCCCTCCTGTAATCGTGCGTAAAATATGGATGAAACGCGGATATTTCGGTGTATGTTTAGCTGAATCGAGGGTGTACACATATTTCGGCTAGTTCTCTCTTTTTTTCCCTTTTTTTTTTACGTAAGAAGGATCGTACCTTTCGTCGACGGAAAGCAGAATCGCAACGAGGCATGCCGAACGTAGATTTTTGTATAAATGTGGTAGAGGAGAGAGGACGCGCGAAAGAGATTATTGGGGAAACATACGAACACGTGTAAAGGAGATTGCTCGAGTCCTAATTATGTACGATGCGTATAGGCCGCTGTATGTACTATGGATATATTAACTTAACGTGATGACTGTATATTTCTATGTTGACCATGTTTAAAATGCTATCGATATGATATATAGTTGATGATGAGAGTTTTATATTTCATGTTGAACGCGCTCTACAGAACACTTGGATTTTCGGACTCGCTGAATTACCCTACCCAAACTGTGGCTGTATGTTCTGTTGAACTGTGTTTTTTGATAAATAAATTCAGAATTTCTCCCTACAGTTTGTGCGGTGGGTCTCCATTTTCTGCGCGCTAAAGTGCGTCCTTGGAATTATTGGCGAAAGCTACTTTTACCCCCCGCCTACGGTTAAGTAGACAAATGCGATGAATATCCGTCACTTTGTCTTTACGGTTACAACTACTTTGGGACTTTGGGTCACAATACTAGCGATTATTCGCGAAACAACCTGAAAGTCGTCTGGTCGTAATCCGATTTTATACTCGGCTAACAAGATCACGGTACAGACCGAAACCCTTGCGATACGCCGATACTAATATAATTGCATTTATCAGAAATACACGTGTACATGAACGCATGTACACGAGACTTGCTTTGGCTTGAAATTAGGTCATGGTTCTTGGGATGTTCAGCGATTGCTCCTGCGGTACCGACAAGTTTCAATAGGATCTTGATCCCTTAGTTATTGAAATTTATTTAGTAAACGTCTCGCAATCAGTTCCACCGTAATGATACAGCAAATTTTAACGCTTTGTAACAGTAATCGTAATTCAATGCTGTGCAGGTTGGGTAATATACCTCGAATGGATGTAGAAAATGTCATGTTGACTCACACGTGGTATTTGAATTTCGCGGTCATGGCGCCACCTGTCAGCTGCTGCAAGATGGCCACTTCTGTCAAATGGGAAGTCGAAGTGATAGAATCTCTTCCGAGTGAGACGCATCTTCGAAAAATAATCAATCGACTGTTTTGTTGACTGGGTTTGTAATTTTATAATCAACGTTATCGTCGTATGAATAGTTTGAGGCGTATTGTTTTAGATAATGGGGATTAGTTTCCGTTTTCTGGGTGTGGTCGTGTGCAAGAATTGATAATGGATTGCGAAGTGTTCATCATATGTTCATTTGTAATATTTAAAAGGGGCATTTATTAATGTACTTAATTAAGTATGATCTTTCCTAGTGTTTTTAATTTCATTTTCTCGTGAAATTAGGGTACTGTTGATTTTGAGGTTAGGTTGGTACAAAATGTTCATTACTGAAGTTCTAAGTAAAACAGATGCTTGGTTTATAAGATATTTACTTGTTGAGGACTCTCAAAATTTTCGGACATGACCCTGTTATGTATTAATAAAATAATATTTTGTAATCTTTAGGCCTCCGGGTACAGAATTTTGAATTGCTGTATAATTTCAACGATTATGCCAAATGACAACTTTAACAACTAAATATCTTTGATAATGTTAATTCATGGCTAAATACTATCGCTGGCTACTTGTTACATCAGATCGAAGAATGTCATTGCAAGAGAAGTAGCAATTGCATGAAGACTATTCTTTCTACAAACATGGAGAAGAGAGGAAGCGCCGAGCTTCTAAACGTGGAGCAGAACAATTCAAAGAACGCTAGTTTGGATTCTCTTAATTCAGACAGCAAGAGCAGTTCTTTAAACTCCAAGATGGGTCATGAATCGGTAACGTTCAGAATACTATTTTTATCTAATCATGCAAATAATGGTGCTCGCTAACAATGTTGAAATAACATTCAGCAGAATATCTGTAATCGATACATTTCTTCAGGAAAGTTGGGAAAAAGCATCGCATTCCAAAAGCTTTTCGACAAGCTCTACTTCTACAGATAACAATATTGTATCTGCTTTAGAAACGAAAAAAGAGTGTCAAGGAAAAGTGAGTCAGATAGAGCATAGAGACCTTGATCCGCACGAGCAGTTTTTATTTGTGTTTCAGAATGTGTCAGTTTGCAGTGTATAGCCGTAGTTTTATAGATGTATTATTATCATTTTCTTTGCATAAATTCCATTTTTGACACTCTGAAGGAGCTTATCCTTCCATGTAACTTTCCATTGCATGGTTCTCACCCAACCATTTAATCAATATTTCAGGATCATTATTAGTCATTTATGCAATAACTGAAGTGCCGATGTTATTTCAGCAGAACGTACCCGGAAGTGATAACGGGCCACCGCTTCTGAATGGAGAACGAGTACAGGGTGTTGCAAGAGAAGTTACCTACCTCTGCCCTTATTCCGGGCCTGCCCGAGGGGTGCTTAGTGTTACAAACTACAAACTTCACTTCCGCAGCATAGACAGAGAAACCCCTCACATTGTAGAAGTGCCACTTGGTGTCGTTAGTAGGATCGAAAAGGTTGGAGGAGCATCGAGCAGGGGCGAAAATTCATATGGAATCGAGGTCTTTTGCAAAGATATGAGGAATCTCAGGTTCGCTCACAAACAGGAAAATCATTCCAGAAGAAATGTATTTGAAAAGTTACAGCAATACTCGTTTCCCCTTTCCCACAAGTTACCATTATTTGCATTCGAATACTCTGAAACTTTCTCAGAAAATGGCTGGAACATTTATGAGCCTATTGCCGAACTGAAGAGGATGGTTAGTGAAATTGATTTCTTTTTATTTGTAGTTTTAACATTCATTTTAATTGTAATCTATTTTTAGGGTGTCAATAATGATATGTGGAAGATATCGAAAATCAATGATACTTACGCGTTGTGTGATAGCTATCCTGCAGTGTGGGCAGTTCCAGCCGCAGCAACGGACGAAGATCTGCAAGCTTCTGCAGCTTTTAGGAGCAGAGGAAGAATACCGGTTCTATCTTGGATTCATCCTGAAAGCCAAGCAACTATAACGCGATGTGCCCAGCCATCAGTTGGCGTGGGTGGTAAACGTAGTCGCGAAGATGAGAGATACGTTCAGCTAATAATGGATGCAAACGCTCAAAGCCACAAATTGTTTATCATGGATGCAAGGCCAATGGCGAATGCTATAGCGAACAAAGCAAGGGGTGGTGGTCATGAAAGCGAAGAGGCTTACCAGAATGCAGAACTTGTTTTTCTGGATATTCATAATATTCACGTCATGAGGGAGAGTCTTAGGAAGTTGAAAGGTATGCTTAACAATTTCCTATCCTTATCGACTGAAGTTCAAATGAAAAATATGATAGTCTAATGCATGAGAACATATAACGCGTTTTCACATCTTGACATTTCTGTTTTTTTTTTTCAGAATTGTGCTTTCCAAACATTGATGAAGCTAGGTGGTTATCAGGAATCGAATCGACTGTTTGGCTGAAACATATCAAGTGCATCCTAGCAGGAGCAGTCAAAATAGTCGACAAGGTTGAAAATCATAAAACTTCAGTGCTGGTGCATTGTTCCGATGGGTGGGACAGAACCGCACAGGTAATCATAGCTATTGATCACTTTTCAAAATACCCATTACATTTAAATAACAAATTTTGACAATGTATTATTTTACTTTTTAAAATTAACGACGGCATTTTTTAATTAGTTAACAGCACTGGCTATGTTGATGTTAGATCCTTATTATAGAACAATTAAAGGATTTGAAGTTTTAATAGAGAAAGAGTGGCTGAGCTTTGGACACAAATTTCAGCAGGTGCGTTTCCGATATTTTCCCTAATTGATTGCGGAAGGATCTGTGCTAGTCTCAGAATTGTTAATCATTTTCATTTTTAACCGTTCTATCTTCTAGAGAATCGGCCACGGCGATGAGCATCACAGCGATGCAGATAGGTCGCCAGTGTTCCTACAATTCATAGACTGCGTATGGCAAATTAGTCAACAGTTTCCTAACGCTTTCCAGTTCAACGAGCACTTTTTGATTACCATTCTTGATCATCTGTACTCCTGTAGATTCGGGACGTTTTTATTCAGCAGGTAACGATTTAATCAATCGAGCAAACAAAGCTTTCGATTAAATAGTTTCTGAAAAATCACCTTCACGTATTCTGTGGTTATTATTTTTCCAGTGAGCGAGAACGAGTACAGGAGAAGGTGAAACAGAGAACGGTTTCGCTATGGTCTTATACTAACAGTCAGTTGTCTCTTTACCAAAATCCCCTTTATTGGGCAAGTCCTCAATATCAATATGTACTGCTACCCGTTGCTAGCGTGCGATTGATTAAATTATGGAAGAGCCTCTACTGTAGGTGGAATCCTAGCATGCGACAACAGGTTATTGTTACCTTCATTCGGTGTATCACTCTAATGAGAAAAAAGAAAAAAAAAAGAAACCAAAGAGGACAAACACGTTTCATTATATTCAATTGCCATTATAAAAGTAATTTTGACTTCCACATTGAGATGCTCGGATAAGATGCAAACCAGACTGAGGGAATTATATCGTTGCTTTGGGTCGATATTAGTTAAGTTATTATGCGATCAGACGTTTCATTCACGGGGAATTTATTTTGTATAAAAATAACGACGCGACGGAGTTTAGATGGTTTCTCCTCATTGGTTTATTTTAGATTTCTCCTGGTTTGCCGAGTCGTTAATGTGTGTGTTTACTGGTTCAATAGGATCCCGTTTATCAACGAACGAGGGAACTTCTAGTCTTGAAGGAGCAGCTCGAGAAACAAGCTGAGGAGTGCCGGCGAGAGCAGGCCTCCCGGGCAAATCGATCCATGACGTCGGCAGCACCGCCTAGAATACATTCCCCGGTTCATTCATAGCCCGGCAGGTTTCTCGTGCATTTTTCCGACCTGTAGTTTTGTAAATGAGTCTTACGCTTACTTCCCTCAACTTCGAAGCTCTACACAAGACGACTTCTGACTGAATTAGTTCCGCCGTGTATAAAATGCTTGTTAATAAAACATTTATAATTCTTATGCAAGTCCACTGTGACGTGTGCTTTTAAAGATTATCGTCAATTAGTGGTGGACTACTTCGTTAGTGGGAAAAATGATTGTAACATAATGTACATGGTACCCGGTAGAAAACGTTAGACGTATTTAGTACGAGTTTACACCTATAATATTTTCAATTATATCTAATTTGATAATGTTAAATCTAAAAGAAACTGAGGGCCGTAAAACGGATATCATGGGTGAAACTAGAGAATGATTCAAGATCATAGTTCGTCGAACACTAAACCAACTTCAAAAATGTCTGCATTATTATTCTATTATTATTTAGTATCGCACAGTACATTTAAATTGCCTTTGTGGGATTTTTTATATAGGCCTTTATCATGTTTTTATGTTGCTAGTTCTCCTTTATTCTCAGGCCCATTGAGGAACTAGTTCAAGATATATGATTCAATTCCGAAGTAGAAAATTGTTAGTTAATGTCAAGGAATGTTTGCGCATCAATTGCAATAACGTCAGAGTAGTCTTAAATGGATACAGAATTTTATATCGTAGAATCCACAAGTTTTCAAAGACTATTCTATATATACATACACTGGAAAACAAAATTACATGTATCGTATTGTGAACAAGATTATAAAAACTGTCACGTTGGAGCTATCTCCTCTGTAAAATGAGACTTTTTACACAGCGGACTTTCACGATCACAAAAGCGAAGTCTCGCATATACTTAAAGTAAAGCCTTTCGTGTTGGGGAAGACTTCATTAAATCGCTAGAAAATATTCTAAATCTCGAACAAAATATACAATTGGACAATCCCTAGGTTCTTTTTTTTTAATTTAATTCATTGATTTCATCTCTTTCGCATTCGAGAATTAATGAACAATCTCGTAATTAAGATATTCGGGGTTTCTAGCATGAGTGAAAGAGCGTAAGCGCAGAAATAAGTATTTGCTAAATTGCCAAGAAATGAGGTACCCTGTAAAGAAAAATATAATCGTGTATAAGTATTTTGAGGAATAAGTGGATGTCTTATAAGATACTAATAATCAACTTACATTTGGTAGAAAATCTACGTGAACAGCAGACTCGCTGTGAAGGTACGTCGAATTTATCAGGAACGGATTCAACAGGTAAGCACAATATGTAAGCCTACTTAAAGGAACCCAACCTCTGAATGAGAGAATCTTGTTGATTATTCCTAAAAAAAAAAAAAAAACAAGAAAAACCGAGTTAATCGCAATGCTTCTTGAACAACAAAACTTACCCTAGTAGCGCAGAATATTTACTAAATATTTTTTGCAATCTTTTCTACATATAGAGAAATTATATTTTTTAACTTATTAACATGATAAAAATACATTTCTTACTTCACGACTATTATCGGACACTTCATTAGGTATCAAAAAACACGAGAAATTTTTCTAATATTTTCGTTCCGCTATTTCATTATGGGAGCAAAACGTGTGATTTTGATTTTAAATATTTTTAAAACGTTCATGATGTATTCGGCGGATAATATTTAAAAAATACTTGTATTACAATGAAACGAAATGTTTTGTTTATCTGGTAGAAAAATATTATGAAAACACACGGAGCTAATATTATATAAATATTATAGGGAAAATATTCTAAAGTAAACGTTTTGCAGATATTTCAAATGTCTGCTAAATATTTACAAAATGGACGATATTCGTTAAATATATAGAAAATATAGGACAAATATTTTGTGCTACTAGGGTTGTTCCTGTTTTCACGCAAAGGTAAAAGAAAGAAAATACAAAAGTTGTGCTATATACTTGTTTTGAACATACTCACCAGGCATTGAATAATTTTATCGAGTAGATGGCGAAACTACTAAGTGGTCGCTCTCGTAAAATGTTATGTATTTTACGATTACACTTTATGGTAATATTTCCTATTTTTTATTTCATTGTAACGCCTGCGATGGTTTAGGTTTGAATAGAAAAGAATTCAGTATTTTCGTTATTTAATCTTGATGATTATATTTCCTTAACTACGAAAATAAGTGCATTTGTAATCAATGAACTTTTAGTTTACACGTCTCTGATTAACCCTAGGTTTGCGAACATTTCTTGTAAACTTTTTTTTACGGACACCCGTCAAATCGATGGGTGAACGCAAACCTGGATTTTCTAAAAAAAAAGTCGATTTATTTAATTTAAAAACAATATCACTATACACTATTAATTTATAAATTGAGCTCGATTACATCTTCATATCATTCCGTCAGGAGAAATTGTTAGAAAAAAAACAATAATAGTCTGTTACGTTTCTCGTTAAATCCGAAACCCGTGAAATTGACGAATCCCATAAATCTAGTGTTAACGACACTTTATTCCGTCCAGATTTTAATATAATAATGGGAGAAAAAATGTATTAAAATGCAGAAATACTCTGCACAACGACGATGCGAAATTTACATTATTTTGAAATTACTCCCCTTGTGTAATGCATTAATGTGTAGTACTTGTTTATTGATGATGTTAATATGAAACAATAGTTACTAGCCTCGTTTGGTAGTCGGACATGGTACTGAAGAGTGCTGTTATGCCGAAAATGTGCCACAAAGTAGTTCAACTCGAACGGTGGAAATTCCTCCTCTATGTTCCGAAATCTCGAGTTGTTCCTCTTCTCCCTCTCGACCAGGACCAGAGGAACTCTGTTTGAAGCATCCTGACATTGGCTTCTACTTCCCAACCAGTAGTTATTCCCATAAATGAATCCTGGTTTGGGTTCACCGCTCGAGTCAAGCACTGCAATTTGCAAGCTACAATTAAAGGAAAAGCATACTAATTCGCAGAGGCGACCAAAGGGGACTCATATTGAATCGGTGTCCACTGGGAGACATCAATGCCCTTCCATCCTGCACAAGCGATGTCGTATCTGCAGGGGAGGCATTCATGTCCGCCATTGTACCACAATTTTAAATTAAATAGTCATCGGTGCTCGCTGTATAAGGCTGCCTGACAATTGGTGAAATTTTAATGATTCGATCAGTCGGTCGGTATATTGAATTATTGACAAAGCAATATGTAACGAATAAGGCAAGACTGAAGAGCTTATAATGCGGATTTAAGAGATTTTTTCTTTTTCTTTTTTTTTTTTTTAATTTGTACAGTTACTTACTAATTCAGATTTACGGAGGGATAGCCAATGCATCACTTAAAACCGCAATCATTGTCAATCATTAACTAATATAGATGGAAAAATGTAATCATGAATATGCCATCTATAACCACAAGTATCGGTAGACTAATTTCTAGTTAGACATAATTATCAATGTACGACCTACAACCACAGCTGAAATAGTGACGAATGAATAATTGGTACAAATTTGAAGGGTAAGAATCAATGTTTAAGTCAGAAAATCGTATAATCGTTGGTGTATGAACCTGACTTAATGAACATGAATTAATGGAATATACACTTAGAAGTAGTGTGCCATATTTTGCAAGCAAGAATTTCCGTCTTTTCCACGTTAAATTCAACGTTGATGTTGCGCTTATTTTACGTTTATTTAAATACCATTTTAAACGGAACAAGGAACATCGTTTACAAAATGTATTGTTTAGCATCTATAAGTCAGTACGTTTTCAAAATAGATAAAATGAACTAAACCTGCAAATGACTTACAAGCATTACAATCAGAAATTGAAAGAAAAATCGTTCACAATCGTTCATTGTACTTTCAATTAACATAAAAAATTTATGTTAAAATACAGGTTTCTTCTCTAGCAATGACAAACGCGTGAAACATTCAACTCTCAAGATATGCGTTTCTCATAAGCATCCCTAGCAGCACAAAATATGTCTTATATTTTCTACATATTTAACGAATATCGTACATTTTGTAAATATTTAGCAGACATTTGAAATATTTGTAAAACATTTACTTTTGAATATTATTTGTACAATATTAGCTACACGTGTTTTCGTAATATTTTTCTTTTAGATATATAAAACATTTNTTTTATATATCTGCAAATGAAATCTTCGAGGCATCTTAAAAAATCTGTCGCTTGAGATATGTAGCAAAGATTGCAAAAAATATTTAGAAAATATTCTGTGCTACTAGGGATACATTTAATGTAGAGAAGAAACCGTGGGTGGATAAACGTTTATTCCGTACACCTCATTTCCACTACGTTTAGGTGAATAAAACGTGCATTCCACTATTTTGTGTTTATCGGGGAATGAACGTTAGGCAATAGAGTTTTCCCTTTGCCCAATCTCGTCGTAAAAATTCCCCAAAAGTATCGCTCGTTATCGGCCAGTTCCCCTAACCTTCCTTAATACTACATTTATTTTATCTGACATTTAGTCCTACATGTCACGTGGGTAATCGGGCACTTAAACATTGCCTAACCGAACGAAACTCTGGACAGGACCGAAAGAGAAATATAATCTAGTTGAACCTGGGTTGGAGTGATGCAAAGTTTCGAGTGGACGTTAAGGTGAAGTGAAACACGTCGAGGAACTTGGTCGACGCAGATAAAGAAGATTTTTCTAAATGCCTACGTTGCCGCCGTTCGTTTTTATATTGACAGCTGGGTCGAATTATATTGGGTATTGTACCAAATGGCATACCCCACCTGTCGTTTTCTTACAATAATTATTAAGAAATCTAAGTAAAACTCCAGAAATCCTCTGGATTCATGCTTTCTGGGGCCCTAATTGACTGCAGAGGGACCCCCTGCGCCATCTGTGATTTCCAGGTGAATTAAATCTTCACTTCGAGACCTCGTATTCCCATCGTTTTGGCAAAGAAGCGCATACAACACTTTTTTTGCCTTTGTCCCGTTCAAATTCGAGTCTATCGATAACCAGAGTGTTTTAAATTATCTTAAAATTGTCCTGACCCTTTCGATTCTCATATCAGAGCCTTCGATAATTGTATATTGATCGAAATATGAGAGCTCGACGCTATTTTGGTTCTGGTCTGGGCAGAGTTAAACAATTTTGTTTAAAAATCCAAATCTTGAACGTGTCAGGACAATTCTTAGATGATCAGGAGGTATGTGTCAAAGTTTCGGACAGTTTGGTCTAATACCCTTAAAAAAAAGTGTTGTATTCGAATCGACTGATTTGAAGGGGGTTTCACTTCACCTTAAGAAGGATATCAGTATGCAGGAGCATCTCTCATCACAAAGGTGAATCCTTAGTCGGAACGATCTTACGTAGGGTTTCGTAACGATCGCGACGGTGCGTTTGGCGCAACAAAATAAATACTAAAACCGATATCGGGCACCCAAGTACTTTTCCCTCGTGTGGAACTAGTTTCTTGTGTAACCCGCTCGCGAAAGTCGATCTCGTTTCAGCTAAATCTATGCGCCTGCTCAAAGCGGGGATATATTCGATTTTTGAGTTGCGCAACTTGGCACTCGTCATGCCAACTACATTTCCAACTTCCGCGATGACATTGACACTTGCCGTGATATATTATTCACTTAGGCATTATCGCGGAAGGGATTAATTTTTTTTAATCAACTTGTTTCATCGCCACGTGGTCCCTACCCTAGTAGCACAAAATATTTGTCCTGTATTTTCTATATATTTAACGAATATCGTACATTTTGTAAATATTTAGCAGACATTTGAAATATTTGCCAGACGTTTACTCTAGAATATTATCTCTCTATACTATTTCTATAATATTACCTCCATGTGTTTTCATAATATTCTTCTACCAGATATACAAAACATGTCGTTTCATTTTAATACAAGTATTTTTTAAATATTATCTGCCGAATACATTATAAACGTTTTAAAACTATTCAAAATCAAAATCACACGTATTGCTCCCATAATGAAATAGCGGAACGAAAATATTAGAAAAATTTCTCGTGTTTTTGATACCAAATGAAATGTCCGATAATAGTCGTGAAGTAAAAAATGTATTTTTACTATGTCAATAAGATAAAAAATATTTCTCTATATGTTTATAAATTATTGAAATGAAATCTGTCATTGAAATTTTCAACAAATATTTCAAATATCTTCGAATGAAATGTACAAGAAATCTTAAAAAATCTGTCGCTTGAGATATTTAGCAAAGATTACAAAGAAATATTTAGAAATTATTCTATGCTACTAGGGTAGATTCGAATATCGGCATTAATAATGCTTTATATCAGTACACTTATTATTGGATCTTGATGATGGACAAATTTTCAAATATATAATTCACCTCCAATTAGATTCTTAACGATTTCATTAATGCATCGATGCCGTGTATGTTAGAGTACCATCAGATTATCGTGAAAATAATTGATTTCATGTTTCACCAGATTAACCGCCACGCGATTATTATATTCTGGCATTTTGTATGGATATAGATATTTATCAATACAAACGGTTTAATCGTTCGCGCGGGTGTTGCTCTTTAAACCAAATCAATGAACATTCGGAAATATAAATAGGTAACTGGCAATTACTTATTCAAAGCTTACCGCTAACTGATACACTTATCAGCTAGAGAGGTGTCATTCAGTTATAACGGAAACACGCAAAAATATCCATAAAGTGAATACTCACCGCTGTTTCAAATCTAACATTACGAATCAACACGTCCATCTCGGATTTTGTCAAATAAGATAATTTAAACTAGATCATCACGTTTTCGAAAATATTATCCACGTAATAGGAAAAAAGAAAACAAGAGGGGCTTTGGGGAAAAAAAAGAAATAAAAAAAGAAAACCTTTCCCGGACTTCTCATACTAACTTTTCAGTCCCCATAGTTTCCGGTCGTCGACGGCTTCTCGGAAAACTCCAAGCTGCTTCTCGCAAGTGGAGGAATTCAGGAAACCGGAGTCGACGGCAAGAGCGTACGCAGGAAGAGTCCTTTTCAAGGATTCATCGACCCCGGCAGCGGGTCCTACGATCACTGGCGCAAGAATCGCAAGCCGAACGAATCCGGCTACGAGACTCCCGGAGATCGACATCGCGATTCCTGCCATTACCTCGCAAGTCACCTCATCAAAGGTATTAACGAAATGACGATTATTTTTAAGATACGAGCTGCCTATTATCGACTAACTCGCGCGATATGTCACGGGCTCCAGCGGTAGCCAGGTCACGATCTCGCGGCCGAGAAAAGTGGAACTCCCAAGTTCGACGGACCCATTCTCCTGACGTTGGCGAGACGTGAGAGAAGAAATTGGCGAATCTCGAATTTCGACGATATCCTCTGGTGAGGTTCGTTTCCGCGCACGATTTCGATCCCGTCAGGTTTGGCTCTCCCGTTGGGAGCGACTGGGAGATCGAACGTCTAAGAGAGCACTGCGAGACTCGGAATTCATCGCAGAATCCGAGTGAAAACCGCCACCGACCCCACCAGTGGTCGACGTAATATTATTTGCGTAATACCTTCGCAGTTCGGCTTAAATATTGTATATTAATTCGGGGTCCCGAGAAGCTCCTTAGATCGGTTGGGGGACCTCTTTCGGTCTTGGCTGTTAACTGGAGCGAATGGTACCGAAGAAAGGTGCTCCTTTATTGTCTGTCTTTTTATGATGAATACTTTATGTTACGCTCCTCCGGGTTAGGAAAAACCTCCATCGCTTCCCGGGATATTGCCGAAGTCCTTTCCGGTCATGGTGTGGCTATATTCTAGTATTTTATTATTTCCCTAGTAGCATAGAATAATTTCTAAATACTTCTTTGTAATCTTTGTTTAATATCTCAAGCGACGGATTTTTTAAGATTTCTTGTACATTTCATTCGAAGATATTAATGACAGATTTCATTTCAATAATTTATAAACATATAGAGAAATATTTTTTATCTTATTGACATAGTAAAAATACATTTTTTACTTCACGACTATTATCGGACATTTCATTTGGTATCAAAAACACGAGAAATTTTTCTAATATTTTCGTTCCGCTATTTCATTATGGGAGCAATACGTGTGATTTTGATTTTGAATAGTTTTAAAACGTTTATAATGTATTCGGCAGATAATATTTAAAAAATACTTGTATTAAAATGAAACGACATGTTTTGTATATCTGGTAGAAGAATATTATGAAAACACATGGAGGTAATATTATAGAAATAGTATAGAAATAATATTCTAAAGTAAACGTCTGGCAAATATTTCAAATGTCTGCTAAATATTTACAAAATGTACGATATTCGTTAAATGTATAGAAAATATAGGACAAATATTTTGTGCTACTAGGGTTCTCTCGGAAACGTAATTGAAGGTGTAGCAATTTATTCTGTTATCGTTGCGCAGGTGTAGGGGTGTTTGCAATTATTGTGCGTACGCATCCAAAGTGTTTTAGGAGGAAGGTACGTTTCATAATTATTGGGTAATTACACGGGTATTTAACTTGAATTATTTTCTTCGTGCGAGGTAATTTAATTTTCCTTTTTACCAATATTTCCTCGATCCGTAGAAATGCCGGAAATTAAATGTAGAAGGGAATTTAGTATTGCTTGAAACAAGTACCGGAGCTTGCGTGATACGAGTTGAAGAAACGGAGATCTGTGAAATGGAGAAATGGTAAACACGCACCGACGATACGAGATTGGTCAAAGAGGAAGTAGTCTAGACCTGATCACCTAAGTTTCCGGTTTTCCCCTGTTAACTTCCTGGATCGAGAGAAGCTAAAATGTCAATGAAGTTAACGGGTAACCAGTATTACGAATATATTAAAGTAATTTAACGAGTAAGTAGCATTATGGGAACTATGAAGACATTTTGTTCTATCGCTGATAACAAATGTAATAAATGGTGTAATCTATATATTGGAAAAATAAGTTTATTTAATATTTCATGCATACTCATTTTCGTTCCTTAAAACAGTGACTGCTGAATAAAAATGCACTAGAAGTCTGTAAGAAAAGAAAGGAAATTAGAAGTCCACATAAAAAGGAAGAGGATGAGCCTGTAAGAAATGAAAGTGAATGTTGTAGAACCGATGCAGATTCCTGGAAATTACCACTAACATGCAGATTTCACATTGAACACGTAGCATTTAAATACGAATGGGTAATTCTAGTAAGAATTTTTTTTCTAAGACATAGTGTTACTTTAATATGAAAGAAATTAATTTCATGTCCTGCGAATTATGAATAAATGTGGTAATTTAAAATCATCGCGTTCAATACTTCCTGTTTCAAGTATGAATCTTCGTTTATTTAATAATTGTATCAGATCCTTGGGTGGAATTTTAAACTCGGCACTAATTACATTAGGCTTAATAAAATGACTTTTCTTTTATTCTAGGTCATTTTATTAAAAAGTCATTTTCTCAGAGATGAAGGATCAACCTGTTAAATGGAATATTAAATTCGCGGCGAATTGGCAAAATGAAGAAGGTTATTAAAAACGTAAAAAATTGATTACCAGCAATGATAGTCAGAAAAGTCATGCGTGAAGAAAGAAATGACATGAAATAAATAAGTTGAAATGAAATTTAACTAATTTAACTATCATTTCGCTTAAAGAAACGAGGAATTAAAAGGACGTATAGAGACATTATAACACTAGGACGCAATAGAAAAAGTCTGACTAATGTTTCTGCCTGTTCTTAAGCAACCATTGCAGGGATGGTCTAGACTTAATTTCACTTTAAGCTGGTGGTGTAATTTCCTGCAATGACATGATGACAAAACAGTAAATTCCCACCACCTTTAAACATTGCCTTCATCATTTATCCTCAAGATTGAAGTACTCCTGGACTGTTGACTTTATTGCCTTGCCATTGTTTTTACGTATCCTGAAATGTCTCAAACGTCGGGGCGGAGTTGATTGCTTCAGAATGATCGGCTTTTCTCGAGTAAACCTTTAAGTATCAACAAATCATAATTTTGCCTTATTACGTAACGTGTACGTCAGAAATCCTGTCAGATATTACATAAATTACATTCCTTTTCATCGACGGTTCCGTTATAGCATTTCCTAGGGTAAGGTATTCTTAAATTACTGATTTATGCCCACCTTGCGTAACACGCAATGTAATTTTCTCGCCTCGGGTTTTATATGCCTCCAGATAATATGGATAATCCATGCCTTTCCATTTTCGCCAAAGAGGTCAAAACTCGGGGTGGAGTTGATTGCCTTACAAAAGTGAAGTAATCCACATAATTGGTTTCTCGAAACAGAATAGGCTGGCCCCAAATTCCGGGAACTTCAGTATAAGACATTAATTGAATTACCAATTTATCATATTTTTTCGAAATATTAAAATATAACGTACTATTACTGTGCCATAAATATCGAATTTACGTGTTACAGACCGAGTGAGTTAAAAACGATTTTCTTTTTCACATTGGGTATATGAAATCGCAGAGCGTTTACAAAAGTTAAGGAGCTATTAAAAAGCACTTTGTATGCCAGCTTGATAAAAAATTATACATTTAAATTCCACCCGATACACCTTATTCCATGGTCTCATTTAGGAACTGACTGTTCCTTAAACTCAAATATTATGGATTGAATTTTTTTAATTTATAGCAACAATACATAAACGGTATAATAAATATATTCTGAAATATTCACTATAATTAGACCAGGAGCCTACAAATGTGACTTCTACAATAATAGATCTTGGTACTCGTACAACGTTTTTAGACACCATTTCTTCAGATTTCGCGAGAGGTCTCCATGTCTTCTCTTTGTAGAAGTAATCCCCCCAGTGTCAACAGATCATAATTTGGTAACAAGTTGCATAACGAAAAGTCATAGACCCTGCCGACCATCAAAAAGTAGACCCCGAAGATGTTCACCCTGGGGAAAGGTTATCCGAGAAAGCTAGGACTTCGAAAAACGAACGGTTAGACTTTGGATTTGAGCGTTGCCACGACCTTACGTCACAGGAGATCAGCACACGTTAATATACACGTCACCACACGCAAAGTAACGATACATCTTCGACGGTCCCCTCTTTCTCTGTTACGCAAACCAATTTCTCCAGTTAATACGACTATTGTAAACTCGTCCTCGTCATTTTTTGGTCCATTTCTAATGTCAGGTTTTCCGGCACCGACGATCCCGGAGAAGTAGAACTCGTTTATTCGGCAGCACATCCATTACTCCAACGGAAAAAACAAGATGGCCGCCCTTTAGCGCGTCAGTCACACCTCCCTACAAGAACCAAAATATTCCGTACGTATATCATATATCAATGAATTAAGTAATTAATATTAATCAGGAAACTCTGTGCATTTTCACGCCTAATACATATAAGATATGTGTTAAGACACTGAACGTTTTGATAACTGCTTAAACGTTAAAGATGTCGGAGGAGTCGATTAAATGGCGGCCATATTTTCTACGCGAGAAGAGCGCGGACTCATTAGACATCCTCACTGATTTTAAATGAGCCTATTATTCAAAATCCGACTGACAGTTCGTGCATCGTAGTGTTCTTATTATCATTTTCTTAGAATCAAAAAAGAGGCGGAGTGGAATAATTCGTCGAAAGAGGTTTTAAATCCAGCAAGTTGCACCTTGAAACAGTAGTACGGCCGAGGTTATGTCAGCCACATTCTTTAGTGACAGCGAAAATAGACCTAGCAAAACTGACTTTAGCCTATGGGTATTTTAAAGCTGATTAATCGCCTCAAGGAGGACGACATCGAGATTGGAAAATTTTGACTTGCCATGGGCAAAAACGTCTCGTGACAGTCTTGTAGGTATATTCCATTGCACAATCGACAAAGCGCAAATTCAAGGATTTCAAGACTATTGGAATCATCGAAACGATTTACAAGATATGAACATAAATTCATTATTAATATCCAAATAAAAAGAAACTCACTGGCTTGACCGCCTTCGCGGCGTTATCTAAAACCACATCACATAGAAATGTTATTATCATTGCTGGATATTATTAACGGTTTTATTTACAGCAAGACTTCATAGGTCTAATTCGAAATTGCAAAGGACGAGTTTCTATTAAATGTTTTTTAAATTCCTTTCAAATGTGCTGCAATAATTTGCGTCTACTATATGTACTCATACATACTCATGGTAGAGAACGATTCTCATCGTGAAAGCGCCGCGTAAGACTATGCAATGTATATCGGTATCTCAAACCGGACGTTACATCATTCTGTCCTGTCCTCGGAGAAAGTAAATGCATTTGCAGTAACTTCTGTACAGACGTAAATACTATATATGTGAGGATTTCGAGAATATCGAAGTAGGGAGGATATTTATCTAAATACTACTTCCTCTAATTCTTATACTACGTACATGTCATACAACCTTTAACATTATCAAACGATTAGCAACCATTTCACGAAGTACACGCAATTTTGACCCTTAATGCATTTGCCGCAAATATGAAGTGTATAATTCCGTTTAACCGCAGATTGCTGAAATGCGGTTAATGATCCCCAAAGGTAATTGCGCTCCTTGTCGTCTGAAAGTTTAAACAGCCAAGAATTGCAACAAAGTCAGGTTGCGTAATTGGAGAAAATAAAAATGTACGAGAATTTAATAATGAAGGGAATTTAATTAATTTAGAGGAGAAAACTGTCCGTTTCCTCTGGTCTGCCTATCTTATGGCAAGGGCTTCAAGATGAGTAATATAAATGCAAATTCGAAGGGCTCATGACTCGTCGAGATTGCTGAAAGGAAATTGATATCCTTAAGGTGAAGTGAAACACGTCGAGGAACTTGGTCGACGTAGATAAAGAAAATTTTTCTAAATGCCTACGTTGCCGAGGTTCGTTTTTATATCGACAGCTGGGTCGAATTATATTGGGTATTGTACCAAATGACATACGCCACCTGTCGTTTTCGTACAATAATTATAAAGAAATCTAAGTAAAACTCCAGAAATCCTCTGGATTTGTGCTTTCTGGGGCCCTAATTGACTGCAGAGGGACCCCCTGCGCCATCTGTGATTTCCAGGTGAATTAAATCTTCACTTCGAGACCTCGTATTCCCATCGTTTTGCCATAGAAGCGCATACAACACCAGAGATGAGTTGGGAAATTGCTCACGGGCAGGGTCGCGCGATCGCACCGTGTGCTGCCCTCTGATTTCGTACGTCAGCTTTCACCGTTTTTTGCCCCCAAGGGCGGCGCAACGAATTTCTGGTAGGGGCTCGCGCAATCGCGATGGCTGTGCCATCTACCAGTTGCCGTTGGCGGCTCACGTATTCGTGATGGTAATACCATGCGGCAGTTGACGGTGGTGGCTTACCATTATGGCAATCTCCTAACTCATCTCTGCCAAATCAGAGATGAGTTGAGAGATTCACGGGAAGGATCGAGCGACCGCGTCCTGTTCGACCTCCGGTGGAGGATGCAGACGGCTAATGCACTTGCCACCTGTTACAAATCTGGGCAGCCGGAGAACCGGCTGAAAAAGTGAAGAACTCCTCACAAAAACTCCAAAACCCTGTACCTCCTCCGAAAAAAATCGCAGCCACTAGCTCGAGAGATCAATTTAAACGGAAGAACCTTCCCCATCAAGCTACCGTGGACGCAGTTCGCATTGCGACAAAAATTCACAAAGATCCTTTAACATATTTTAACATCTTCTACCAACAAGTGCAGAAAGCTCGATTTCGATTAACTGCCCATGATGATTTTACCAAAAATGGCTGCTTCCAGGTGATCCACCTAAACCTGCAAAGGGGCACAAAAGTACAGGTAAAACGGAACATTGAAGAAACACCAGTAAGTCGCCAGATTCTCCGAAGTGGTCCATCTAAAGCTGAAAGGGAACACGAAGGCACAAACGAAACCATTGGAAAGCGAGAAAGAGACGGTGATACAAGTGCTAATAACTTACTAAAGTTACCATTAAAGTCAAGAATATTTCGCAGTGCATCGATCCCGTATAAATGACCCAGTAAAAATGTATTTAATTATACGTTATTTGGCGTGATAAAAATCTAATATATTTATCATACTTAAATGCAGACTCGAGAAAATCTCATGGAAACGATAGTTCACCGTCTCTCCCCGTCAATCCGGACAGAAGAATATACAAAAAATGAGAGGGACAACGTGGCGAAAAAAAATGAATGACTGTCCATTCGAAAGAATGGAAGGCCATCGTAGTTGCCCTCTTCTTAAGGGGCCGCTTCGGCATATAGCCTCTTCGACTCTTGCAGTCTCTTCGGGCAGAGCCCCCTACGTCTCGAACGCTTGGCAATCCCCTGATTTATCGGATTAATAAAAAAAAAAAAAATCACTCGCGGGGAGATCTAAAAGCTAGCAAAACGGCGACCTGCGATCCGAGGATGCGCAGTCCGTGCGTATTGCACATTTACCCGGATTCCCAAGCGCGATCTAATTAATTTGGATCTCTGAAAGAAAATTAACATAATCGCGGGCGTCCAGGAGTACCCTGAGAAAATAATTTACTTTCCATACTTAAATGAATTATTCGCGGCAAGAATAAGAGGGACAACCCGTTAATATCGGACGGAAGTGATTTCCCGAAAACAATTTGACGTTTAAGGTCGGTCGGAAAATTTTTGGAATATAGGTAAAAAATCTATCGCAAGAATTCTATTTTTTGGAAAGTAATTTTTTCTCTCAGCGCAGAGCCGCGGGCGCAGGACGGACATCCTCCGCCCTTCCGGAAGCGCGAACGATGATGTAAAGGTATCCCAGGTTCGGGATCTTCCCCCATACCCCCGGGAAGAGATCCCGCCCTGGCCCTGCCTGCTTACATTTAGACATTCATTCAAGGCAATTAACCTACCTCCCTAGCTATATTTAAAAAAATCAACCTCACTCATTCCAACACATTCACTCCACGATTCTCACTCATTCCAACACATTCACTCCACGATTCTCACTCATTCCACCCGGGGACAAGTAGCCTAATCTAGGAAGGACATCCCGGGATGCCGGATCGCAATGCCCGAACCTCGAATCGACTGATTTGAAGGGGGTTTCACTTCACCTTAATTGTAGTTCGGGAAGTGGTACTTAGAAGGTATTCCATTATGTATAACAGGTGATTGTTTTTTGTCGAACGAATCAACTTATGAACACGTATTAGCTAAGAATTATGGACACTGGAAATAATTAATTATTATTCTCAGGACATGCTCCTGAGAAAGTAAAAAATGTAATGGATGGTCCCATCGCGGTATAGGTTAATTTCATAAAAACGCTCATTCGTGTCGATGATGTATCGCCTTCTCCAGCTGCTGACGCAAACTTCGAGTTGAAGTAAACACCAAGAAAAAGTAAAGTATACTTACCATCGCTAATGTGTTTCTGTGAAAGCCTTTTACCAACAAGACTTGAAAATCCCCGAAATTAGGTAATCCTTCGCGTTAAAATTTAACTCTTAAAGTATTTTCGCGTCAATAAGGAATCCAATGATAATTTGAGATACAAAACTTGAAATTAAAATGCAGGAAATAGAAGGAGCTGAATTTTAAAAGAAAACATTTTTAACGGAAGTTTTTCTGTAGCTGGTAGCATTTAAACCTGCGGAAAAGAAGACATCGAAGTTATTTGTCACACACAAGAGAAGTTTTATTAACCATTCGCTAAACACGTACTTCGAAGATCGTTCGTTTCCAATGCAATCTAACAGTTTGCTAGTCAATGGTTCAAGAACATTCTACCTGACATGTACGTCAATGGATAACACCACGCATTATACCAGCAGCCACAATTTGAATATCAAATGACAGCGAGAACGTGATCACGTAGCATGCATACTGTCATATTTTCCCAGAAGTACCCATTATACGATGTTTGTACCGATCTATGACTGAGAATGAGTAATTTCCAGTAATTTCTCATATATTGATACTGCGACAATTGCTCAAACAATTCGGGCTCAGTGAGCCTCCTTAGAACTTCATTGGATCAAAAATGATTCTTTGCAATTTCCTGACCTTTTCTTTTCGTACAAGTCTTCTTTCTCGTTTGCGTAACTCGTTGATGCAAAGCTTCAGGATTTGTTCCGTAGAAGATGTAATTTAAGATTTAAATGTTGTCTTCATATAAAAAAATCAATACTAAATACGGTCATACTAATTATCTAGGCAGAATTGGAAGTGATAAATTGTATGAAGACCCTCAATGATACGCAGACGCCAAAATCCGATTTTTTATAACCTCATGTTTCACGCCTGCGACAGAGAAAATACCTATCGTTTCTTTAAAAAGATCTTCCCGCAAAGGAATGATTAACGGGAAATTAAAAAATATTCTTAGTACATATATCAATTGAAAATATTATCTCGATTTCGATCCTTTAAAAATACTGAAATAGTTTCGTTTAGTTCACTTTCAGCGGCGCTGCGATCGCGTGAAAGTTTCCTCGGTACTTTCGCACCACTGCAAAAAAGGCTTTGAAATAAGAAAGACGTATTCCGGATTTTTTCAAGATGTTATTATCAGAGCACATGGAAGTTCGCATCCTTCGCATAGATAGACGGACTAAGTAGTCAACAACGAAAAATCATAGAAATTGACGAAAAAAAGCCTTCGAACGCCTTTGCAGGCGCGTTCCAAGCCTTCGAGCCATCTTCAATTAAGAGTAATAATATAATACACTCGATAATACAGTAATAACGGGTATTATTACGATATTGTAAAATATCACAACAGTAATATCCATCTTGCCATAAATGCAGAAATCCTCCGCGCGTAGCTCTCTTAAAATTGTAATTTAATGGTGGCCAAACATTTCCAAGTAATCGCAATCAGTCGCCATTTACGTGACTAAGTGAAAATTAAATCTCTGGTATGAAAAACTTGCTCGTCTATTAGCAATCTGCGCGCGGAGACCTTTTCCATTCATTTTGGCAAGAAAAATAATGCTTCCTTCTCCCGTTAACGTATAAAAGAGGGGGAAAAAAAAGTGGAGGATTTCTCGTACTCTTCCGGGGGCTTAAATTCGCCTAAAATAAATTAATGTCCATCCGACCTCGAACATTGGTCTGGACAAAGTAGTAACGCTCTCGGACCACGTCATAAATAAGAACTTATATACGCGAGTTATTGCAAAAATAATTTCCGCTACACAGCGCATCCTACACGAGGCGCGGGCACGCAGCAATCGTATGAAACTCAGTAATTCAGTGTAAGTGTATAGTACAAGAATACCGTAGCGGTAGCATAAGAAAGAAAAAAGAAAAAGGAGAACCTAAAAACAGTGAAAATACATATCGCACTCGGATATAATTGATTTCCGAATGGATGTCGCAATACTGTCACATACGAACTACTGGTTTTCAGCTTTAATAATCGGATACCGGTCGTTACGTTGAAAGTACCGGCTTAACTCAAATCTAAGTCGGCATGTTTTCTGCATTAGACTCGGATTATCGGCGAGGCTTTTGAAATTTCATATTCCGCGTCAATTCCACCTCGGAGTCAAGCGATGAATATATTACAATTAATTAAACAAAATGGCACTTGGGGTTGCAATACATGAAGAAAAGCGCGCACCAATGTCCTGCCTGACTGGGAAAAAGTTATACCGATTATGCATAACGAATATCTTGGAAATATAACGTCCTCGTAGAACTTTTACATCGTTCGTAGATAGTGTAGGCAGAGTCACTTATAAGAGTGTTTAACCCTTTAACTACGGCGATGTCGGACGTGGATCTGTACCGCCTGTACGGATAGCTCGGCCACGATGTGCTAATATTTGACATGAATACGATATTCATTTGTCACCTTGATTATATGAAAATAAAGTGGGGCTATAATAGCGCTTTGTAAAAAAAAAAGTGCCAGGTGGAGCCCAATATAGTGGCGCTTCGTAACTAAAGGGTTAAATCGTGATGTCTACTGTAATAAATATCGTACATTTCTGACTTTTCTAATGTATATCCAATGATATTAAAACAATGATACTAAAAATTTATCTCGATTTAAATCCCTTCTGTTTCTTGATTTGTTTCAGGCCATGACGTATAATTAAGCGGTCTCGTAATTTCAACGAAAGTTGTATGAAATAATAAACAAAATGTATGCATCTTATGACAAAATTATATATAGATTCCAGATATTGCGTATGTATACATTATACGTAATTTGTATTCCCTTTTCCACTGGCGCATACACTCGATTACTGACTTTTCACACTTTCCCCGCAGTCCGACTGGATCGCGAAACTTTAGAACGACCGAAAGCGCAATTTCTGGGAGCACTTGTTAAAATGTTAATAATTGATAAATCCGCGACATCGTCAATTGATCTTGGGCACATTTACGCAGCATCCTTTTATACCACATTGTACACAAACCACATATCGTACAGGCGTCCGCACGTGCGTAATGTCATATCTGTTGCGGTACAATTAATTTCTTTTTTTTTTATACGGAGAATGTATACAACACCAGCCATTTAGCTACATAACAATTACTATGCTATATATACAAATTGCTATTGAACAGCCGGATGCACCAACTGTTGAATTTTCGGAGTTGTTTAAGGACGAGTCAGGACGGTTCGCAACATGATCGAATAATTCGATTGGGAAGGATCGTCGTTTTCCTTTTCAAAATCTGTTCAGCCGCTTTTTGCCAACTCTTAGGAACTATTTTTGAAGATATTATCGCAAATAATCAATGACAATTAACTGATCTCATTCCCAGCTAGTGAATAAACGCAATTAATCAAATTGCCCTTCAAATGGGGTATTCCAAATAGAGTGAAAATAAAGTTTAGTTTAAAAACAACAAGGATTGACATAAATGGTAGTTTCAACTACTAACGAATATTTAAGAATCGTACAGTTGCGGAAATATCTTACGATTACAGTGAACATGATTATGCCCTAACAATTATTTTTCTTTTGAAAAGCTTCCATCAGAGATTTACTCGGCTACTACAATTACTTCTTGGCAGCATAAATGCGTAATACTACACGCGATACTTTATGTAACAAAAACAGTTTACGCGTCCTTTTGCGCAGACGCGGAGGAGCAAAAAGGCCAACTTAAAAAAACCATGGTTAAACCATGCCTGCGTTACGTAGAAATATTTTATACAGCAGCGTTATGTAGAAAATTAAATCGGAATCCTATTGCTAGAAAAGAAGCTCGTTAGCAGAAAACATCTGAAGAGCGAATCGTCCTGCGTCCAAAAGAGCCAGATACGTTAGGTTGAGGACTGACGTCTCCAAAGCTAGCAGAGCCACATCAGCAGACCCACATAAATTAAACATCAAAATTTGTTGCTTTTTTATTGCTTTTTTGTTACACAAATTTCAATTTTATTGCTCCAGCTGTTTTCGAAAAAGAAACGAAGGTATTGACTAATTAATTGTTTAATTTAACTCGATTAAAATGGTGGTACTGGACTGAGAAACAATGAGAACCTATTGTAACTTTAAGAAGGGTGGTTTTCGTTTACCGAGGGTTGTCCTCTGGTGCCGTGAATGGAGCAATAAATTTTCCGTTAGTTTAGGAAGGTACTGTTTAATTATTCTATTCATTTGATTCCGTAAAAGGAGTGGTAAGGTAGGCAAGATCAGCAGGTCCCCCTTGGATGTTTAAAGGGGGTGAGTTTGGTGCCCGGGGGATAGAGCAATAAAATTCTAAACTAAGCAATAAATAAGCAATACATTTTTACTACATTATACGCTACTTATTTTTTAATTTTCAGCAAATTATTAAATGGCTCTGCCAGCTTTGATGAAAAGCTGGCAGAGCCCTCGATTTTTCGAAAACGGCTGGAGCAATAAAATTGAAATTTGTATAACAAAAAAGCAATAAAAAGGCAATAAATTTTGATGTATAATTTATATGGGTCTGCTGATGTGGCTCTGCTAGCTTTGGAGACGTTGAGAACTGACAACGGTTGATCGACCGAAGAGTCACGGAACTCGCAGACTACGTCGAGTTTGAGCAATTTACTGTCGCACGAGGACCCGAAACACGCTAGGAATTGGACAAGCAACAATACGGGAGTCCTGTAAGAGGATCCCCCTGAGATGAACATCGAAACAGTTGGTGACTATTGCCTGATTTAAAGGAAAGCCGAAGAGCACAGGGAAAGAGAAGCGTTGGTGCACGCACAGCTTCGACATCGGTTAACATTTATAACTTCGTCACACCCGATCGCTTGTGTATTCTTTAAGTTGTCTCCTTTACAGCTACCGTTTATTACTTACAATTTAGCGTCTCGCTAAAGTATTGACTAAACACGTTCGGCTCGCGCGCGCGCGAAGACGGCGCGGCGTTCTTGTGCCTCGAATTTCCACGTAGGAAGAAAATATGCATCCTTTGAGATTTCTCACTCGTTGCTACTCCATTTGCTCCTCCCATAGAATCTTTCGCCTTTGTAGTTTATTGTTTAAGCACGTCCTTGCTTAGACGAATCGTGAATTAACGGTATCCTCGTTTCTGCGCTACGCGACGTTAAGTTATCACGAGCCTCCACCCTCCGACTACGTTTTATAAGTAAGCAGCATATTTCCTTTAAATCGACGGCCAATGCCCATCGAGACGGAGATCATCGGAGTGAAAGAACGTCCAGAAACATTTTTAGAAATAACCACACAAATTCGACGGTTAAAAGCCACTCCACTTAGACGGATTCGGGACCACGAGACGAATCGCAATGGCTGTTCGATAGAGTCTTAAAACTTCTGCCGAATAACAATTCCTTCGCTACTAAATACCGCGATTTTGATCTCTCAGCAAAGTAAGCCTAAATCGAAACGAATGGATTTACTAAAAATGAAATCCCTGTTACTTAGAAAAAGGATCTCATCCTACACCATCGAAATGTGGAAGTGTTGACTGTCCACGTTAAGAAGCGTTCATCTGTAAAAATGTTCCTTCGTTTCTAGAGCCCAGCTACAAGGTCAACGAAGTCCTCCTTTGGTGCATCGCTCCGTGGTTTTGCGGGGAGTCCTCAACGACGCAGTCTTATCTTCTCTGGATTGGACTGGTGAATACTCCGATACCTCCAGGGTAAAGAGAACGAGTTTTGGAGATTTAGAAGACCCCCTGACGATCCATGTTCCATGACGCCGATTTTAAATCGGGGGTTCACAGGAGCCGAGGCGATTCCCATTGATCTTAGAGCAGCCGGAAGCGACGATGACCTCGAGCAGAATGGTTCGCCATTTTTTCCTCGCCTCGATGCTCGACGAAACGGAAGGGTGAATTTCCCTGGCGATCTTGGACGCTCCTCGGGGCCAAGTCGCCTTTTTAATCCATTTTCTAGGCTCGTCACTACCGGGGCTCGCAGGCTTCGTAGACGAGTTCCGGTACCAGCGCCAAGGAGAAGCTGGACGTCGTTTGCCTCGAATACTGTCGACGAGAAGTGGTAACTTCGTGTTACCTGTTGTTCTCTTCCATGACGACTTGTTTGAACACTCCCGCGGGCATTTGACTTTTTACTTCGTGGCTCCCAAGAGCCGTCGTCCCGTCCTTTGCGATAAAGAGCTGCAGACCGGAAGCTGGAAACAACGAAACGTGGTGATGAGTCTACTTATCGTGACAAGAAGACTCCAGGGTTACAAAAGACAATTACGAGTCGGTTATTCGCGAGGCCGTAAGGACTGCTTTTAACGACCCGCAAATGCCGAAGTCTAAAGCAACGGTCTTCGGGTACAAAGCGAAAACATCAACTACTCCACACCGTATCTTTAGAAAAATCTTGAGCCCCTGGTAAATCAAGTTACATACAGAGAATTGGATTTATCGACGTTGAAATGTTCACTCATAGAATATTAAACGGTAAACAATCGAAAACTTCGAACAGGGAGAGATATGAAAGTCATTACGTAAAACTATATATGCAAAATATTCCTAGTTGTTACTTGTCCCAGCAGTTGTGAACATAACATCAATTATTTCTTGGCTTTATCGCAACAGCTGCTTCACGTAGAAGAGCGGAGCAGATTAAATACAACCATAAAAGCACTATCAAAACCACCAACTTAATACTGTCATTGACACCGTGGCGCAACGTATGTGCCTGTAATAATTCAGTTTAATATTTCTTTATTTTAATTTAAGCCAACTGCATAAGTCAATTTCTAGCTTTTGCAAGATCCTTTTACTTGTCTCTATATTAACATTCAATTGACGTTGCGGCTACAACTACAACTGTTAACGATTTATTTCTCTCCGTGTAGGAAATACAGGTCTATCGTCCTTGACTCGCGAAGAGCACGTACTTTCGGCACTCTCGAGATCCGATTGCTCCAGATTCGTCGCTTTCAGCAGCTCGTCGATCAGAGAATCCGGATTTGGTCTCGTCACCTCGACCCTACAGAGAATCGGATTTCCGGCCCCATCTTCGGCCTTCTTTCTGCGCTCGAGAGCGGCTTTAGCTCTGTCCAAAGATCCGGTCTCGCTGAGTCCAGACCCACCGGAGGGATTCCTGAAATGTGCAGATTTATTCATGAGTATAGCTCCAAGTGCACGGGCTGGTTTTCAGGATTACACGAGTGTCTCGTGACTCGCTATTTAAGGTGAAGTGAAACACGTCGAGGAACTTGGTCGACGTAGATAAAGAAGATTTTTCTAAATGCCTACGTTTCCGACGTTCATTTTTATATCGACAGCTGAGTCGAATTATATTGGGTATTGTACCAAATGGCATACTCCACCTGTCGTTTTCGTACAATAATTATAAAGAAATCCTCTGGATTCGTGCTTTCTGGGGCCCTAATTGACTGCAGAGGGACCCCCTGCGCCATCTGTGATTTCCAGGTGAATTAAATCTTCACTTCGAGACCTCGTATTCCCATCGTTTTGGCATAGAAGCGCATACAACACTTTTTTTGCCTTTGTCCCGTTCAAATGCGAGTTTATCGATTACCAGAGTGTTCTAAATTGTCGTAAAATTGTCCTGACCCTTTCGATTCTCATATCAGGGTCTTCGATAATTGTATATTGATCGAAATATGAGAGCTCGACGCCATTTTGGTTCTGGTCTCGCAGGAGTTAAATAATTTTGTTTAAAAATCCAAATCTTGAATGTGTCAGGACAATTCTTTGATGATCAGGAGGGATGTGTCAAAGCTTCGGACAGTTTGGTCTAATACCCTTAAAAAAAAGTGCTGTATTCGAATCGACTGATTTGAAGGGGGTTTCACTTCACCTTAATGGGGTCCAAAGTAACTTTTCACCACCCTCGTTCACCAACATCTTAATTTCTTCCCATTTATTCGAAGTTCTGGCAAGGAATTTAAGTAACTCCAGTTCTTTACGTACCAAAGGGATCCTTATTTGAGCTATGACTGTCTAAAGTAATTAAAATCTAAGATTTAAGAACGATTCAAGCGTATATCATTATCAAGTAATTAATTTACCTTATCAATAAGTGATCCCGTTAATGCAGATAAGCATGTAAAAGTCTCGCACGATATGTACGGGGGAAAAGATTGAAATTCCTTGAAGAACTTCGTAAAAACTGAAGGAAATTAAGAGGTTTGTCAATTCTGTCTGGTTGAAAGTTAATTTTAAAAAACCCCTAATTGTCAGGAAATTGAGAACAATTCACACTCGTGTGAGTAGTTAACAAAGACGAAGAAAGTGGACGCTCAGGGCGCAAAGTCGTGCAAGTGATAGAAGGAAACGGAAATGGAGACGGAAAATGAAATTTAGTGACTAGAAATCTTCACAGACATGTAAACACGTACGAAATGCCGGTAAATATTTTCTTAGACCGTGGTAGATCATAAAGAGAAATTAATCACAGAGAGGACAGATCATTGAGTGGGCAGAGAAGCGATGAAAGTGCGATGTACATGCGTAAGCGATGTGCAAAGTGCATATCTAAGCCAAAGTAATATTGATAAAAAAAAAAAAGGAAGCAAATAACAGAACTGTAAATTTGACGTTTACGATTTTCGCGTTTTTTTTTCTTTTTTTTCCGCCAATCAATCTCTAGAAACCAATTTTGGTCAGTGAAATTTTTAATTTAGTCTGTTCGGGTTTATATGTACGTTTGATTTACTAGAGGTAGTAAATTATGGCATTTTCTCAGTATAAATCACGGTTTAGAATTAATAACCCTTAAGAATTTTTCGGGACACGTTTTGAAACGGAGAGAAATTTTTAACGATTTTTAAAGCTAGATACAAGATCGAAAACTGAGAAAATCGATCTTTCGATTACAATACATAAAAGGATCCTCGCGAATAAAATTGTTTACAGTAGATTAACGCTGAATATTGAATAGATTAAATTTTCGTTGGCCTTCACAAAACAGGACGAAGCACAAAAACACAAAAGCTCTAAATAACACTCAAGCAGCTACGATCAAACATGGAGGCTCATTAGTGACCAAGGATTTGCTGCTCAGCCCTGGCGATGCAAGTACTCTTAATTAAATCGTAAATTACAAGAATTTCTCATATCAGGAGGACAATTTTCATTTTAACATTTTTCTTAACCGAAACCATTGTACATAATTCCAGCATAAGCTCCGTCGCTTGAATGCCCTTCCTTATGTTCAGGCCCAAAATTTGTCGCTTTCTTGTCAGATCAGTACCATGAAAACGATGTTTTATGAATTGACAAGAAAATACTATATTACATTGCTCAAAACAGAACGAACTAATAAATCTCTCAATATCGAAGTTTTAATCGTTTCAGATTTCGACGGAAGATTTTCGTTTGGCAGTACTTTAAGAGCTCGTTGAATCGTCATCGCCAGGCCGAGAATCGCCAATTTGTTGTAAATCTCCACAGAATGACACGCATTTAACACGAAAGCATGGACTGACGGTGGGGTAATGCTGTTTCGGTGCTGTGCGGTCGTAGGTGCGACTTCCGGTACTCCTAAAGGAGACTCTTCGGAGTCAGGGCTGGTGGCCACGGTTGCTAATTTTCCCCCTGTACCGTCCAGCAACTTCCGGTGACTGCCGCCGATTCCCCTGGAAGGATCACAAGCCGTCCTAACTGGGAGCTCATTCACAGGAAGAGCCGTTAACCACCCTAATTTATTGCCAGGAGTCGCCGGTCATTTTAATTCGCCGTTATGGGAAGGGGTAGCCTCGGTAAGCTCGCTCGGAGTCCATGAAATTCACCCAAAGGTAATTAGGAAAATTCTAAAATTAGAGATGCCGTGTCAAGGTCTGCACGCGAATCTCAAAATAAATTTCCCGGTATTGTTATAGATCACCCCGGGAAATGCTTCCTCCCTGTAATGCCTGGAAATTGCCGCAGACTTCCTTGGAAGTATTTCGAGTTACTACAATGAAGAGGATTTTCATAGCCATTGTTTCATCGTAAATTGTGAGCATCCTTCGAAAGCTCGATCGTGGATTTTATTCGGAGTTATTAGAGACGGAAGCTCCGGTTACCCAGCTAGGATATGTGAAATTAATTTGCCGAAGGCAAACAAACGGAACACTGTGTCAAGGACTCCACTCGAATTCAAGAACGGGTTTCTCTATTTTTTGCAAGGAAATGAGCTGCCTCAAGGTATGGATTTTCGGGGCTTGATTATAAGTATATCTATGACAAAGTGAAAATGTTAGTCGAACAATTAAACTCGAATTTATAAATTAAATTAATTCAGTCCTCGATTATCGAGAATAAACGATCACAGGTATCCTATATGCCGAGTCCCGAAACACCTGCTACAAGATTTAGCTGAATTAAAAATCATGAGACAGGATTAATATTTTAAATAAATAAATCTTCATGAATTGAGTTGAATCATATATAGTTTCCGTACTTTAAAACATGTAATAAATTTTTCCTATTCTTGCAAGAAATTGAAATTATTCTTGGCTCACTCTGTTACTGGATTACTGACTCGGCCATAAATCCTTATCCATGGCCATGATAAACCAATCATATCAGGATTAATAGGCACTCGAATTTCCATCACAAATGATTGATGTAGCAAGAAATAGGAACTATTCCAAGACAAAGTAGTATTCGTTTACACGAAGGAGCAACTTATGGAGCTGAACCCCCTTCCAATGTACTGCACGTGAAAAATCGATCGGGAAACCTCTTTTACAAAGTTTCAAGGGAAACCCCACGAGGATCCCCCACAGGGATTTGAAGGCGTTCCGAAAGCTTTCATATTTTAAAACTTGTTCTTCCGCTTGAGGACCTAAATCCACGATAGATCAACCTTGTCGGACCTTGAGAGAGCAGTTAGTTTTAAATTAACATTACAAGAGAGAAAAGCCATTGTACGTTTTCACTGGATCTAGGAAATTAATTGGCCCCAGGAAAGTAATTTGCGAGGCTCCGACTACTGCAGATGGCTTTTAAATTACCCTGGCTTATAATACACTGGAGGCCATTTAGTTTTACTATAAAATCTGACTTCAGGATTGATCAATCATTTTTAAATTAAAATAAAAATTGGCTCTCGATAAATGGAGTATTGGCTTGGAATGCAATAAAAGGAAAGACTTCCCTTAGGTCATTAAACGTAGAAATTATTTATGTACAACAATAAAGGTTGACGTTATTATGGTATTACTTTAATAATAAAAAGAATAACCTTCTTTGTATAAAGAAAATGAGGCGGCTAAAAAATCCTAATGATGTATTTGTGGATAAAATGGTCAACGTATTTAACGTTCAATTGATTAATTATGGCGAATCACTCATTTTTTCAGAGGAACCTCTTCAAATAAAACAGCTGACTTTTCCAAAAGAATATTTTCTGAGCAAGATTGTTATGTCAGAAAAAAAAAACAAAGGTATTAAAAAAACGATGTTACTGCAATAGTTTACTATTTATGCGCTCTGTTCTACAGTTCTGTTTGTATCCAAATGTTAAAAAGTACAGGGTGAAGGTACGAGTTTAATAATGTCTTATGTATACCAGATACGATAGAGAATATAACACATGATTGAAAAGACGTTCAAAAGCAACCTATTTTGTAGATTAGAGATTGCAATCTAGAATTCGCTACAATGGCATGAAATTCGCATCTGCAGGCAAGATTGGCCATGTAATATCCGTATTCAGCATGTAATTGTGGTAATGAGTTGTGGCTTGAGGTTGTATCTGCAATAGCGGGTGACTTAACAAAAACCGAAACCAATGCCAAGCTTGAAATCTGTGATTCCTGCATCGTGCTATAGCTAGAAAATAATGCAGAGCTTTTGATTGCTCAATCGATTTCCATTTTTCGTCCATAAATGCTTCACCACCGTAAATAAAAAAAAAACTTGTACAAATGTTATCTCCCGAGAAATATACATCTAAAAATAGAAAGTATACAAAGTACTTTTTCCGGAAGTGTCAGCAATAGATGTTATTTGTTATTGAGTGTCTGCTCGTGCAGTTATGCAAAATAAACGTTTACGTGGCGTAAGTATGTAGTTTGTCTTGTTAGTAAAATAGAAAGCAATGGCACTCATGATGTCCTGTCGACATGAAATCGCGATTTTAATTCAAAGGAATGATAAAGTCTCTTCGGTCAACGATGCACAGGAAAAAAAAAGAAAAAAAAAAACACTCGTTAGTGGAAAGCAAAACGAACGCGCGAATTTCGCATTAACGAGACGGCAATAGGCTTTGCGAAATTCAATTTGCATTCCTAAAACATACACGTAGGAGAGAGATCGAGTATCAAAAGGAGAAAGAAAAGAGCGATTTGTGTCTTAGAGAAAAGCGATCGCATAAACTGAACACCTTCAACAAATTTCTTACCCCAAATCTTTACTGATTACCTGTCATCACTTTTATTGGCGAGCAAAATTCTACGAGAAAATCGCAAAGTGGACTAATAATAATAATAAAAAATAAGCCGTTCAACTCAAACGCTACTTTATTTCCGGAATTATTATCGAATCATTGATGAAACATCTGCAAAACGTGTTTGGCGATCCCTGATGGAAAACATGCTGCAAACACCTTTTTGAAACTAATTGTGGACAAATGGAATCTCAGGACGATATCGAAGTAAACGGCGCTTTACTTCACAAAGAAGAGTATAATATTGAGTAATATTGATAAACTGGCGAACTAATTTCTAAAGGTTCAGAAATTAATTTTTTTCCACGTATTAAGTAATAAAGTGTATTCCCCGACGCCATTCGTCACTTCCTTGCCGGAAGTATAATTGAACGACGAAATCGAAGGAAAATCCGCTGCAAAAAATTTGTCCACGAACGTATGGGACGAGAAGAATACATGTCGTATTTGATGCGAGCCAACATATGTCCGCTATTACGTATACTCTCTCTTTTCCCCTCGAACGATCATAATCTCCTATATGAAACGTCGCATGTACAAATATCTCCTCGCGCGGTCTCTCCTCCCGTGTAACCGAGATTCCGCAAAAGCCGCTCACCAAGCCAATGAGATGTATCGCGCGCGTACCATGTAAACACGGTAAACAGAACTGAAAAATAAGGGGGCTAGAACGAACGAGGAAGCAAAACGAACAAAAAGAAATAAAAATCGAAGGCGGACCCGCGAGAGGAAGAAGACGGCTCGCTAGTCGCGGCAAGGGAAACCATAAAGTAAAGGTGAAATGAAATAGAACTCGCAATGGAGACACCTACCTGAGGGTCAAGGCCGCCGTGGCAGAAAGAAGCGAGGCTCGGGGGGTATCGGGCCTGTGTAGGGGATCGGGAGAGGACACGGCCCTGGGCTGGTCGGCCAATCGGAGGACCGGGCTAATCTTGCCCTTCTCAATGCAATCGCAGGTTTTCGAGATGCCGCGCCAGCTAGCCTGGCCGATTTTTGGCTTGGCGGTTTTCGAGCCGTGACCGTTCGCGAGTCTGTTGCGCTCGTTCCGGCTCTCTAGATTGCTCTTCTCGTGGCCCTTCCGCGAGTGTCGGGGCGCGTCGGGCATTCGAAAATTCCCGGGCGCGACGGTGGCGCCGCCAACTCCGCCGAGCGCCTCCCGATTGACGGCGACGCCGAGAGGTGGCGCCACCGTACCGTTCCGGATTTTCGCCTCGACGAGCCCGCCACTCGCAGCGCGAGCTTTCTCCAAGTCGGGTCGCCGGGAGGAGAGTGGACTGGACGTCGACCAGAATCGACTCCTGGGGTGCGGATTGACGAAAGGCGAGGGTGGGGACATGGTCTCGGGATTGGACTCGAGTTTGCTCGTGTGGTTTTGGTTTTGGGCCAGGGTCGGGAGGCGTGGTGCCCATACCGGCCAGGAAGGTGACCTATAAAGATCACAACACAAACGTTGAAGGCATGCAAAAATCATAAAATGTACAGGATTCGTAAAATATTCGTTTTACTCGAGAACGCGGCCTGACGGAAAGTAAAATGGGTAATGGACCACTATATCGTTCTCAAGGATCCCACCGTTAATGCGCTTAGTGTCGTTGACTAATCTAGACCATTGGGACGAAAGGCCATAATCCGTCGAATGCAGTTACTTCATTCCCATGTACAACGAGCAGCATCAGTGGTGGAAGTCCAGGCGCGTTATTAGGAGATAAGAAATGGAAAAAGATTAATGCGTAAAGTTGTCAGTCTCGACGTAAGCTTCAAAGGATTGAGTTGGCAAGAACGTGCGGGTGATAAGGATAGAATTTGGATGTCGATGTGATTTCAAATTTATGCTGCCGTGTTGTAAAGTCAAAGCTGGTTTAGATACCGAAGGAATCGTAGATACTGGTATAGTTCGACGTTGTTAATATTTGTTAGTTGCTACAAGATTTTATAGATAAAAGGTATGTGTACGTTGTCATAAACATCCTGAAAAGAGATATGTATTAATACCGTGGAAATTAATCTTACTACTTGAGAAGCCCATACCCTGGAGGGTGAGGTTAGAATCCCTTCTAAAATGGTGCATGCTATTCCCATTCCGTCGAGGAAACCAGGTAAAGTAACTGTGGCCTCGATCCTATGTCAAGAATTAACGAGAACCTTCTACCATTGCACCGCTGTCAGTAAATTCATTGTTTATAATTGAGAAAGACAAAACGTACAGCTAACTTTTCATGAATGAAATAATTTTGTGTAATGATACCGAAATATACGCTTCTTTAAGAACTATGATAAAGATCCATGGTTCTAGTGATTTCAAAGTATACCTATTAACCACAGATTCTAAATTTATGGCTACTTTAGTCAATTATTTCAATAAGTTAGTGTCTCATTTGAGAAACAAATAGTTGGAAGATTCCTTACCTGATGTGACCACTGTCGCCGCTACTGCTTTGCCTACTATGTTGACTGTGAGAATTTAAGGAACCGTAGCCAGAGCCTTTACTAAGTTGACTCGTATTGCTACTGTTTCGAGAATGTCCTGACTCCGTGTGTGCCTCTGCCAAACACTCTACTGGAAGAGCCGATGGAACGATCTCACTTAAAGTCATTGGATCGTACAGTTCAGTCCCACTGATAAGTTCTGAAAATGCAATTATATCGCTGAATTATTGTTTTGTAACTAGGAAGTGTAGTATTTCTGTAATGATGCGTCATTTAACGTACCAGAAGAGAAAAGGGCTGGTCTCTTCTTGGGAAGACTTCCAAAGCCGCTGCTGGCACTGGCTATACTACCAGCCAACGAACCGCTGGAAACATAGTCCTCTCGATTGCTACATCTCTCTGGTCCAATGACCTCGTCGGTGGTGACACCAGGTACACCCGGGACACCTGGCACAGCCAACTGAGTTTGCTTCAACGATGGAGAGGGTCTGTGGAAGTGATACGTTAAACAATTTACAAAAAGAATGGTAAAACAACAAATATTACATACAATTAAAAATGTGAGTTTTAAGCATTTATTTTTATATATTCTTATTCGCAAATCCTCGATAAATCTGCCTAAGGTGTACAATTGTATTTTTCAGCAGTGATAATACTTACACTTTGAAGAGGATATCACCGGACAGCATGTTCATTTTTATAGCAACCCTCAACATAGAGTTGTCTTGTCGATGTCTCGCATCGTACCCTTCCAAGAGACATCTCCGCCTACACAGTCCAGCTCCTGCAAACTCCGCCAGATTCAGGTCCGTGAAGCCGAGCTTCTGGAAGGACCGGCCTCCCTTGAGTTCCTGAAAATTAAGCAAATAACATGAATTTCTTGTGCAACAATTTATCCAAGTTGGACTAAAAAATGTCCATGGTTATAACGATTCTTGGAAGGATTAAGTAAGTTCTAAAAAAAATTCAGAACATAAGTCGACCATATTAAATTTTGACGTCAGAAGCGAGGAAATCGCGTGAAATTCCCAACCAGGGTTGGTTGCACTTTCCACATTTTCCTGAATAAAAAGTGGGTGCCTTAATCATCAGTGGATGTGTAAAACGTGTTAGCCGGTCCGTGTTCAGGTTGACGTCGTGTTCATTGGCAGGTTATCGCCTCGGAATCATAAGCTCGTCAACGGGCCAATTTTCGAAGAGAGATATCTCGTTTCGTGGTGCAAGATCCATCACAACTTGACCGGCTGATACATTTCGTAAATCCCTAGTTTCTTAATGTCGTAGTCTGCGTTGGCAAACGCCGTTTGGTTCACGGAATCCTGGTTGGGGATTTTACCCGATTTCCTCGGCTCTGACGGCAAAATTCAATACAGCCGACCTGGCTTTCCTGGACCCTTAACCAGTTAACTGCGTTCGACGTATATACATGTCGGTAACCCGTAACGTTACAGTAAACTCCGCAGATAACAAACTAAACGTAGAAAAGATCATCAATTTCAACCATAGAAATAAAAGTTACATCTTCAGCATCTTTCAATTTATATATGTAAATTATTAGGATACAATTGAGTGTGTTTTAAGCGTTGACATTTAATACAGGTGGGATTAGAAAATCTAAAGTTCTGACGTGGAGGTTTGGGTTTCTGCCAATTTTAAGGAAGATCCTAAAGCATGTCTCACCTTTCTGACGGATATCCTCAGGATGCACGGGTCGAGGACACCCGTCGATGCGTTGGCACTCATCTTGCAGAGGAACTCGAACTTGGCGTTCCACCTGACAGTGTGCTCTTGCACTTCTTCCCTGAAACATACAAGGTACTGGGTATAGCGTAAGGTACTGGACACGATTTCACCGCCTCTCCTAACTCTTACTCCGTTCCAGGCAGCTAAGCGCAACGAAATTGTAAGCCAGACTGGAAGGTCATCGATGATTCATGTTCCCTGATACCAAAGTGGTACGACCTTTCGACTAAGACAGTTTATTAAGAACCCACTTGAGCGAATACATTAAACCGCTTTCTGGCGAATGTGTTTCCGCTTAACGCCAACGTAACTAAACTCTTGGAAAGGAGCTCGCCAACAAGTGGGGACGAAAAGAATAATCTTTTCACCACATTCATCGCAACAAAACAGCTCTGGAGAAAGAAATCGGGTCAATTTATGCTGTATTGAAAATCGTTTATATTTAAGATTGAATTCGTTTAAACTTCTTCGGCAGAACGAGAGCATTGATGCTCGATTCCATCAGCGTTGGTCAAAAGGCTAATCCTCGGTTACGGGTCACACGTTCCATCACATTTTAACAGCGAAATCTTTTCAACACATTCATCTTAACGAAATAGTTATGACATCGGGTCAGTTTATGCTGTACCTAAAATCGTTTATATTTAAGATTGAATTCGTTTAAATTTCTTCGGCAGAACGAGAGCATCGATGCAAGATTCCACCAACCTTGGTTAAAAAGCAATCCTCGGTTACGAGTCGCACGTTCTACCACATTTTAACAGCGGGTTAATTTCCATTAACCACCGTTTAGATTAACCAGTCAAATTGGATCGTTTAGCTTCATTTAATCGAACGTTAATCTAAAAACTGCACAAACGTGAGGAAAACATGGATTAGATCGAGGATGTATTAGCATCTTCGTATGAGGAAACGGATGAAGACGTTTTTTGACTTTATTTACAATGTCTTAATGATCGAAGTACGCTTGAAAATATTTAATATTAATTCTTAACCAAAGAACTTCTTGCACAAAGCTAAGGGGACTTCGTGTCTCGACTAGAGCACATCTATCTTACTTTCTAGTCGATCACAGTATCAGCCAATCACGCGAACGCGTTCACCGACAATTCAATTTACTTCGAGTGTATACAATTAGTCAATCACGCTTTAAATAAATGTACTGGAACATTAACATTTTTAACCCATCATTAACTTAAACGTTAACTTTAACCTAAGGCTAGGTAATCTATGATTTAACCGGAGTTGGTGGAACCTGGCATGGATCTTAACGAATATAACCGAGACTTAAGCCCCAAAATGGCCACTGAAAATGTGCTGTCGTTTTATTAGAGTTTAATGGATATTTGATGACACAATTTGACCATGTCATAATGATTTTAGATTCGACAAAGCGACGAGATATCGAGAAGCCTGGGACATTTCGATGTAATTTCCGTACAATAGGGATATATAAATATATTTTTATGCCTCTACGAAATCAAGGACTGCGGAGGTCGTTGGATTGCCGAGTTATTGGGATGCGGAAAAAAAATGGAATGGACTATTTGTGAATACTAAAAAAAGCGGCTGGCAGATAACTGCACGTAGGTGAGTGGAGCCTCTTTTCAGAGAAAATGAAACATTCCGGTTAAACGCCCACGACTACCGTCTACGGGAAAAGAGGCTTTCGACGGTGGGCTTTGCAGCGCCCACGCAATTCGCTGACGAAAACGTGGGCATTTCCGTAATCTCCGTCGGGAAGGAAATACCACGGTAGGCGACGAATCCGTCTCAGTCTAAAGGATCTTTTGAATAAGATTGTCCCCATTAAGTTTCTTTCAAGAGTTTGCAATCACGAGGAGAATTCACAAGGCGAGTCGTTAGGGAAAATGGCCGCGAGCGCACGTGACTGGTAACTCTAATGAGATTCGCTTTTTCCCTAGATTTAAAATAACCAACGGAAGGGTACACATCTACACGCGTTACGCGCCGTCGAGTTTTGATTCTGCCAGCGGCGATTATCCAGTTTTCTGGATTATCGACTTTCAACGGTCGCACGTCCCGCGAACATCTCAGGACTGTGCATCATGACTGACTGATCGAATTCAAAGAGTATAGACATCATTTAATAACTTTTCGCACGTGAATTCAATGGCCAGGACAGATGCTTACACTTGGATCTCAGGACACATGCATCATGACCGACTGAGGACGGGTGCTCACACTTGGATCGTCGCTGCATAAGAAACTGTTTGTCACGGAAAACGTTCATTATATAATTTGTAATGAATGCATACGTGCCGTAAATATGTCATGTTTATAGTGCCATCAACCACTCGATCATAATAGACCGTTTCTTTCTACGTTCTGGTTCGCGATCCGTGGACTTTGACAAGATAAACATACCTGATATACTGAGACACGTGCGCGTTAATCAGGATTTTCATGTCCAACAAAAAAATTCGCCTCGCGTGTGGCTTTTTATGAAGCATTCGCAACGGAACATTGTCCATTAAAATTCGATCCTTGGTTGTCGGAAATACTCATACAACTTTGTACGGCTATCCGGAATAATGTCGCTTTGTATAAGTGCGTGCATTAATGCAAGTATAATTACGCCTCCACGGCTTGCGTATAAAAATGTCAGACCTAAGACGTCGTTTATTATGAGGAACATTAATTTAATAATCTTAGAATTTCATCGACGAGCGGGGCGTTTCAAACCCCTCATGTTCGTGACGTCATCGTCTATTTGACCCTGAAAGACTGCCTTTCCTCATCCGCTTGTAAAATCCATTTTATTACTTTATACGTCTAGGATCGCGAGGCATGAACTTCGACAAGGTAAATGCATCCGCAAAGTAATTAGACCCGGTTATTTATGGAACGTAGCGCGCGTTAGTATATTTATGTATATTGCATGTCGAACAAGGCCCACGGTATCTCCTATACACTTTAGCTTATGCATCGCTTTAATAAGGAAGCGTCATAATTGCGTTACGGCTTGGCTGGATTGATTTGGCCAAGTATGTACAGATTTCTTTTTACATGCGCGGTGCGTTAGTCCTGGATGGTTGAAAAGTGGAATGGTCGTATTTCTACATTTTCAGAATTGAAGAAATAAAGAGGGGATTAAGGTGAAGTGAAACATCCTTCAAATCAGTCGATTCGAATACAAAACTTTTTTTTAAGGGTATTAGACCAAACTGTCCGAAACTTTGACACACCCCTCCTGATCATCTAAGAATTGTCCTGACACATTGAAAATTTGGATTTTTCAAAAAAATCTTTTAACTCGGTCCAGACCAGAACCAAAATGGCGTCGAGCTCTCATATTTCGATCGATATACAATTATCGAAGGCTCTGATATGAGAAACGAAAGGGTCCGGACAATTTTACGACAATTTAGAACACTCTGGTAATCGATAAACTCGCATTTGAACGGGCTAAAGGCAAAAAAAAGTGTTGTATGCGCTTCTATGCCAAAACGATGGGAATACGAGGTCTCGGAGTGAAAATTTAATTGAGCTGGAAATCACAGATGGCGCAGGGGGTCCCTCTGCAGTCAATTAGGGCCCCAGAAAGCATGAATCCAGAGGATTTCTGGAGTTTTACTTCGATTTCTTTATAATTATTGTACGAAAACGACAGGTGGAGTATGCCATTTGGTACAATATCCAATATAATTCTACACAGCTGTCGATATAAAAACCAACGTCGGCAGCGTAGGTATTTAGAAAAATCTTCTTTATCGACGTCGATCAAGTTCCTCGACGTGTTTCACTTCACCTTAATATACCATGAGGTTATATGAATACGGGGAATGTTCCATGCTTTCTGGACAAAGAACGAATTATACAGTAGCTTTCTTCGGTTGATTTGTCAGTGACCAAATGTTTGAAGACACGTAACGCGTGTAACGCTTAATAGGTAGGGTTTTAATAATTAATTCGTGTATCCAGTCCGTTAGAATCAGGAGGATCTACGTCGTGTCCGAAAGAACATCCCATAACGTCCCGAGGGGCAGGGTATTGTGTCGAAGAAGCCCTCCCCTAATGCAACGTGGCCGTGCATTCAAAGAAAGGGATCATAAATGGCTATTCATTCGGGCAGCTGAATGGCGACAGGAGGAACCAAGAGCAACCGACCAAGTTGCAGGAGAAAAAAGATTCTTCGGTTGGACGAACACGTGCCGCTCTTCAAAGTTTCGGGCCCTCTTCGAGGTCCGTTAGGGTCGCTTCAAGGCGCTCCCGGCAGACATCAACGGCGTCGGTTTTTTTTTTTCCCTCAAAGAAGCTTCCTCCGAATTGGACAAAGGAACAGTTCTCCGCTGACAGGGAGCATTAAAAGATGTGATCATACTTTGATGCAGGTTTGGATAGAATAACGTCTTCTTTCGCTGTGGACATTTTGAGATTCTTTAGGATAAAGTGAAACACCGAGAAACTTGATCGACGTCAATAATGAAGATTTGTCTAAATACTTACGTTGCCGACGTTCGTTTTCATATTGACAGCTGTGTCGTATTATATTGGGTATTGTACTAATTGGCATACTCCACCTGTCGTTTTCGTACAATAATTATCAAGAACTCAAAGTAAAACTCCAGAAATCCTCTGGATTCATGCTTTCTGGGGCCCTAATTGACTGCAGAGGGACCCCCTGCGCCATCTGTGATTTCCAGACCAATTAAATATTCACTCCGAGACCTCGTATTCCCATCGTTTTAGCATAGAAGCGCATACAACACTTTTTTTGCCTTTGTCCCGTTCAAATGCGAGTTTATCGATTACCAGTGTTCTAAATCGTCGTAAAATTGTCCCGACCCTTTCGTTTCTCATATCAGAGCCTTCGATAATTGTATATGGATGGAAATATGAGAGCTCGACGCCATTTTGGTCCTATTGTGGGCTAAGTTAAAAATTTTTTTCCAAAAATCCAAATTTTGAACGTATCAGCATAATTCTTAGATGATCACAAGTCATGTGTCAAAATTTCGGACAGTTTGGTCCAATACCTTTAAAATAAAGTGTTGTATTCGAATAGACTGATTTGAAGGGGGTTTCACTTCACCTTAGGTGATATCGAGCTGATGATTTTTGGATAGCATAGGGAGAAGGGACTCGTGATCCGTTTGCTTCTTCAGAAAGTTGACTGGCTTCAGACAGAACTGACGGTCGGAGCAGCGGATGCAAAATGCATTTGGCGGTCGTGAAATTGAAGGCCACGGAAAGCACGGTTGGCCGCGTTACCTGATGAACGTCTGGGACTCGAGCTGAGGCCACTGGGTGGCTTAGCAAAGACAGAGAGAGAAGACGAAGACTTAATCGGCGAGCTTGCTGACCACCACTCAAACTCCTCAACGGACGCGAGGTCAGCTCCGAAGCTATTGACCGGTCAGACAAGCCAATTACCGTGGAAACCAGGTCAGAGCACACGGAGGATACACAATCTGTCCAATCCTCGCAGGACAGGATTTCAGGGTCTTCGAATGTTCGATACATCGACAGAATGTCCTTCCAACCTGGGTCGAGGCGTCCTTCCGCAATGGCTTGCGGCTAAATCACCGAGAGAGCGTTAGCTCGCTCCAATTTATAGAACATATTTTTCCTTGACTTCTCGTTAAGGTGAAGTGAAACACGCCGAGGAACTTGATGGACGTAGATAAAGAAGATTTTTCTAAATGCCTACGTTGCCGAGGTTCGTTTTTCTATCGACAGCTGTGTCGAATTATATTGGGTATTGTACCAAATGGCATACTCCACCTGTCGTTTTCGTACAATAATTATAAAGAAATCGAAGTAAAACTCGAGAAGTCCCCCGAATTCATGCTTTCTGGGGGCCTAATTGACTGCAGAGGGACCCCCTGCGCCATCTGTGATTTTCAGGTCAATTAAATTTTCACTCCGAGACCTCGTATTAGCATCGTTTTGGCATAGAAGCGCATACAACACTTTTTTTGCCTTTATCCCGTTAAAATGCGAGTTTATCGATTACCAGAGTGTTCTAAATTGTCGTAAAATTGTCCTGACCCTTTCGATTCTCATATCAGAGCCTTCGATAATTGTATATTGATCGAAATATGAGAGCTCGACGCCATTTTCGATTCTGGTCTGGCTGAGATAAAAAATTAAAAAAAAAATCCAAATGTTGAATGTGTCAGGACAACTCTTAGATGATAAGGAGTGATGTGTCAAAGCTTCGGACAGTTTGGTTTAATACCCTTAAAACAAAGTGTTGTATTCGAATCGACTGATTTGAAGGGGGTTTCACTTCACCTTAAGTAGGTTTCATCTTGCTCGGATCTTCAGCTAGATCGCGGAGGGAACGTTCAGTACCTCCAGCTTATAAGGCACATATTTCTTCCTAATCCCTCTGCAAATGGACTCCTCGTCGCGGAAACCTTCAACCAAGTAGCTCAGTAAATATCTCCCTAGAGCCGACTTACGAAACGCGCAATTTCAACCGTTGAAAATTCCCCGCTGATTTTCACGAATTACTTTTAATTACCAATCATGTTATTAATTATGTACGGGGATGCGAAGCCACGTATGGGTTGGCTTCTGAAGGTGGTGAGCAATTTTAGATGAAATAACGATCCAATTCAAGATAATATGAATACTCCGCTAAGGCCCGGTTCCACAACTCGAGTTAATCGGAGTTTAACTGGTTTACGGTAGATTCAAATCGAGGGTAAACTTCGGTTAACTGGAATTGCGGAACCGGGACTAAAACGTACAAAGTTGATCCATGAATCCCATTGTTTAGACTACGCCTTCCAGTTTACGCAAAGTGAAAAATGAAGTTTCTTTCATTTTCAGGAAGAAGGGAGAACGGAAATAGGTTTGCGCTCGAGCAGTCCTCCGAAGTTCTTCGGGAACTGTTTAAAGTTAGTTTCCGGGCTTGCTGGTTTAGCTGATTAGATTTTCCTCCCGAGGAGGTCGATGTAACGGAGTCATGGCAATTAGTTTACAAGGTAAAGTTCGGTCCCAGAAGCGAGGACGGTGCCCTACTGGCCACTTGAAGAGCACGAATCAGTCGCTCGAGCTTCGTTAGGGGACTGCCGTGTTTACGTGCATTCGGGAAAGGGAACTTTTCCCGACCATTTCGAGATAGAAACGGTAGAACCAACCGCCAGCTGGGAAGAGAAAATTAGGCCGGCCACTGCAGAAAAAAAAAACAGAAAAGAAGAGAAAAGAAAAATAAAGGATTCACGCTCCCACTTCCAGGTGGTGCTTCAAAGTGGTACCCACTTGTTTAGTGACGTCAATATTTCTCTGCAACTCGTTAAATGCAGCGCCGCATAATGGGTATAATTATGCTCGATTGTCAACATTTATACAGCGCGAGGACATTCGTTCAATCCTTGGCCACACAAAAGTCGTGGACAACTAAACCGCTCCGGAGATGAATGTTATTAAAAGAAATCAATTGTTCACCTTCACGTCGTTTATGATATCATATCAAAGATATTGCACGTGTTCAAGGAGTACTTCTTTCGACTAAAAAGAGGGTAGAAGCATTGAGGAAGATCGTTACCTTAATTATGAGGGTATTTCGTGGAATTGAATGTTATTTCCTGTACGTAATTCCGTATAGCGGAAAGTCTCAATTGTTTACGCACTTTTTGCGCTTACGACTCGGTACTATTTATTCCCTGTCTGTATTAACCCTTTTAGTGCCGGGCGAAAAAGAGGTACTTATGCGAAGATAACCGGCCGAATTTTACGATTTTACTAGGATTTGGAAAAAGGCTCATAAAAACCAAACGAAAAGCAATATTTACATAATTCAAAAAGCAGGGTATTAAGGACAAAATAGAGAATAAAACGGTGACGCTAATTTTTCTATATTCATTGAAAATTACATAAATAACAAAGGTATATGTGATAAAAAAAAAAGAGAAAAATTGAGTTCTCTGTTTTAAAACGTAATTGCACGTAGGAAAAGTCATCTTTTTATCATAAATTTATGTAGACCGTTTATTGCAAAGTATATACTTTAAATTTCCAATATATTTTTTAACAAAATAAGAATTTTCCGCAAGAAACATAAAAAATAACTCCAAAGCATATGGGAGGCGCCGGACGGATTATCTCATCCGAAACAAGTAATTGTTAT